TAACTGAGTAAAAAGGGAAACAGAAACAAACAAAAGATGCATCTTCTGGGAAACTCTCACTCAGCACAAAGAGATTTGAACTTCTGCTGTAAAACAAACCATTTTATAAGAATGTGTATTCTCCTCATTTAAATATATGTATTAGGAGGTGTGTTTTTCCCTCATGGGCCTTCCCATTGATTTTATTACCTCCTGCTAAAGAGCCCCAAAGGCAGATATATGGATTGTCAAACTGGGCCTTTGCCGTACCAGGCGTCTCCTGCAACTCACCCTGAGCTAAATTTACGACCTCTGTTTTAGTTTTATGCCTCAAATGATTCCACAAGAACGTAGTTTGTATTTTTAACCAAGCTTGCACAAAACGTAATGCTAAATAATGACTATAAGTTTGGATCTAAGAAGTAACTAATTCAAAACATGCTTAACGAAATATATTTAATTCTAATATAGATAAAATTATTTATAAAAAGTTTTAAGATCCTAGTGAACTTTTGAACCACGCTAAGGAATTTGTTAATTGTCTGGCAGATAGATGCCCTGTCTAAAGAGATTTAAGGAAGTCTCAGTCTGTCTTTCTTTAAGATCCTCCCTATACAATTCATGTAAAAGTTTTAAAGTGGCCAGTTGTTTTAGTTTGGATCTTTATCTAAGTTTATCTTAACGTAAAGATTAGCCTGTGTACTATTGTGCTAATTTAAAATTCTATTTCAACAGAACTCAGTGCCCACTTCAGGACAGGTAGTGAAGGAGAGAATTACTATCCCTATTGCATGTGAAACTCCCCAAGGATTCGCTTTCAAACATTCATTTTTGTTGTCAGATTTCTGTCCAGTAAATCTTATAGGGAGAGATCTGATGTGCCAATTAGGGATTGATCTGATCTCAACACCAGAGGGTGTAAAAGTTGTATTATATTCTGATTAGACTTCCACAGCTGTGCAATTTGACTCATCTGCTCTTAACTATGTATACGAATGGAAGCTTCCAAATTCATCTCTTTCAAAACAACTTCTTGCAGAAGTAAAAATTTCAATCTCTCCTTTTTCCGATGTTAAACAGCATGATGAGTTAAGTTTTGTTTCAAATGTTTCACTGGGACCTGATTGTGATTATGAGAAACGTTGGTTCTCTGTTCCTTCTGAGAAACTGTCAATGACTACTTTGTTTTGGAACACACACACACACACACACGCACGCACGCGCGCACACACACACACACACATACACACACACGCACGCGCGCGCACGCACACACACACACACACACACAGCGGGTTTGGCTGTCTCTGTCTCAGCTGTGCGGAAACAATTTTTTTGTGTTCTTGACTCTTGCTCACAGATTCCTTTGGCAAAATCACAAAATTTGGAGTGGAATGATGTAGGGTCATTTATTCGTACATGTAAAAATGAAACTGGATTATTTCACCTGCTGACCCAAATGTAATATTTTCTGAGTGCTTGTCAGCATTCAAAAAATTATTTCATTGTACGGTACACTGTCAAAAGTTTGTGGAATTGATTCCTACTACAGATCCAAATTTTGAAGCATGCTTTTTATCTCAAACAGTTCTATCTGCATTACCAAAAGCGCTATCTAAAGTTCCTGATAATTTTTGGGCTAAGAGCAAATATGATGTGGGACTAATTAAAGGGTCTGAACCAGTTATTACCCCCAAATCTGACTTTCATCCATGTCAAAAACACTATCTTCTCAAACCTGAAGCTGTTGCAGGCATAAAACCAATTTGTGACGCTCTACAAAAAGCCGGCATCATTGTTCCTTGTAATGATTCTCCAGTTCGCTCACCAATATTTCCTGTCAAAAAGGTACATATACCTGGGGAACGTCAAGAATGGAGATTTGTGCAAGATTTAAAATTAGTCAATAAGTCAATTTTACCATATTATGCCAAATCCTCACACCGTTCTTTCTCAGATTCCTTCAAATGCACAGTTCTTTACAGTGGTGGACCTTTCAAATGCATTTTTCTCTGTTCCGATGGATCCAGAGTCAGTTTACGTTTGCTTTTAAATTTGAAGGAAGACTATGGACTTTTACCCGTTTGTGTCAAGGCTTTTGTGACAGCCCCACTATCTATAATGCTGCGCTGAAGGCTAGCTTGGATTCGCTCCAGCTTCCTCCTGGTTCTCCTCTTATTCAGTACGTCGATGACCTTTTGTTATGCAGTCCAACTAAAGAGCAATGTGAAAAAGCCACAGTTGCCTTGCCTTAGCATCTTCATGCTGGGGGTCACAAAGCCAGTCTTTCTAAACTTCAGTTTGTTAAAGAAGTAGTCACCTTTTTAGGTCATCTGGTTTCAAAAAAGGGTCGTTTCATTTCACCTAAGCGTGTTTCTGCTGTTCAAAACATATCCAGACCAGTCACAAAGAAAGAGCTTCTGTCTTTTCTGGGTATTACATCTTTCTGCAGAAACTTCATTCTGAATTACTCAATTCTGGAGAGTCCTTTGAGAACCCTCTGTAGTGGTCTCCAAGCTTCAGACACTGTCCAATTGACTCCTAAGCTGAAGCTGCTTTTACTCAGCTAAAGCTGGCACTACAGACTCCTCCTACACTTGGCATTCCATATCTAAACAAACCATTTGTTTTCCAGGCTACCAGCGCCTATCAGCCTAGTCAGGCTGCAGGCCCACCAGTGTCTATCAGTCTCGCGACTGCAGGCCTAGCAACGACAGCCTCGCCCGTGTCGGTCGACTAGGCTCCAGCGACGCGGCCGCTCCTAGTCCCTCGACTACAGCGCCTTCCGCTGTCGAGCCGACGTCGCCAGACGGCAGGGTCTCATGCGCTGTCCGCAGGTCTCGGCCCGGCACCCTTTCTTTGGGGGGGGGAGACTGTACGAGCTCGGCCGAGCTAATGTCCACAGTCTTCAGCCGGGACCGAGCGCCAAAGAATCTGTATCATTAAATCTCTAACTGCTATTCTCTTCTCTGTGTGAGTCTCTCCAGATTGAAATACAAGGTTAAAAGTCGTTTCCCACAGCTGCAATCAAAGGTTTCCCATGATTTGGATCCTTTATCTTTGTGTAAAGCTTACATGTAGTGACAGCATGGCAGAGCTTACTCTAGACATGCTTCATTATTGATTGTCCTACTAGCTCTCTATATTGTGCACAATATATGAATAAACCTGATTGAGTAATTTTACCTGAACAGTGCTTGGAAATAGTTTTTTTCCCACAACAATGGGCATGCTCAAAATTTTCAGTGTGACTATTTTTACGCTCCTCTCCAAGTGAAACGTTTTCCTAAGGTTTAACCTCTCTCTCCATCCCAGTAGAGCAGGGGTGCTCGATACGTCGATCGCGATCTACCGGTCGATCGCGATCTACCGGTCGATCGCGATCTACCGGTCGATCGCGATCTACCGGTCGATCGCGGGGAGGTTTTGAGTCGATCTCTGCAGCGGGTGACAAACTGAAGACCTCCAGGATGCTGAGAGCAGCACTTCCTCTTCTGACAGGCTTATCAAAAATATTCACTAAGATCCAAAACGTTTGTAGCTTCATTAAATAATAATAAAGCCTGGAAGCCTGATATCGTAACGGACTGAACGTTTTTAACGTAATCTTTGCTCGGCTTGCGGGCGCAGGCAGTTGCCACGGCAACAGATGTGCTTAACAATAAAGAGAGAAAGAGAGTAAAAAGGTGCGAGTGGTTCTGAGTTGATCACCTGTTCAGGTTATTCTACTTTGTTTACCTTCGCTGTGGTTCATCACAGCCGCTGGAGTTTCTGAACGTTCACTAAACGACAAACTTGGGCTGATGACCTCGTTCGTTTGCAGTAAACGTCACAACAAACATCAAATAGGACACATATATGTGATTAAATTTTAACAAACAAATGGCTTCCACAATAATTATGTCAAATTACATTAAGATTTGCCTTTACCTCTGCAGAGCTCTTTGCTTCCTCCCATCAGTCTGCAGTTTCTCATATTGACGTCATCAAACCAAATTTCAGATCTACCATAACTGACTGACAGCTGCTGGCCTCAGGTTCACAACCAGCTTCTGACTGAGAAACCAGTAACCTGCTCCCAGTGTCAGAATCTCACTGAGGAAGAAACTGCATTAAGCTTTTTATAACTTTATCATTTCTGATATAACTGATGTATATTTGCATAGAAAATTAGTCAATAGGGTTTCATTTATAATTTGTATGTCTTCATGTCATGAGGTAGATCTCAGCCGGCTGGTGAGAGAAAAAGTAGATCTTGGTCTCAGAAGGTTTGACAGCCCTGCAGTAGATGTTCTGTGAGTTTTCTGTGCTGTGAAATGCATCTGGTATATCCATGGATTTATGTCTTTTGCTGCTGTTTTTAAACATACTTTTGTGTTCTGTGGCTGACTGAAACTTAGGGACAAATTATATTGTGCTGTTGACACAAGATCATTTTGCTTGGATTTTGTACCTAGGAAATTGATGTTGGGAGACCTTGATTCAATGAAAAAATCTATTCTGTAATATAATTATTTGCTGTGATACTGTTTTATTTATTATTTGAATATATGGTGTGTGAGATATTTTTTGCTTTTTGTTTAGCAACATGCCTAATGTTTGGACCAACGCCAGGATTTGATTGATTTTTATGTCATTTCTAGGATGTCCACTTTGAACCTATAGATAGAACATCAGATAGAATGAGGGCTATTTGGATTATGGCCATAATAGGGATGGATGGGTGGATGGATCGACCTTTTACAGAGATCAGATTTTTTGGAGTGAATCAAGCAAAAGTGTTGAGAAGACGTTGTACAATTCTGGTGTTGTGGATTTAACCACCTTTAAAATGCCAATGGGAGAATACTTCATCCATCTTTTGCTTATTCTATTCTATTCTATTTTAGTAATCATCAGGTTCTCTAAAAAAATTCTCAATCAATACTACTGTCACATTTCATCAACTAAAAGAAAATCTTTGTGTATTTGTGACAGAAGCAGAGAGATATTTTATAATTGAAAACCAAAACCACTGTAGGTACCTACAAAGTTCTTTATTTTATGCATGGTGGTCTTTACAAGTCTTCATCTGGTGTTGTGTGGGTTCACAGTAAAGAAAATATTAAAAATGTCCATAAGACAAAGAAAAGTAGTGATGAATTAGACAGCTAAGTGAAGTAACTGTAACATGCAATACTAAACGGAGTAAAGAAATAAAGCATCATGTACAAATATGGACAAAATCACAAGTCATACCGATAACATACATCTCATCTGACTGGGCAGTGCAAAATTAAAAGGCTCATTCTGGTACCCCTGAATAAACTAACAGTTTTATATGTTGCTGTACAATTAATACTCAGAAAAATGCAGCTATGCTTTTAGTCTCAGTTCTTGTAAAGTGGTTGTTCTAAAAAGGAGGACATCAGTAATGAAAAGTCACCTTGATTTCAAAGTTTTGCTGGTTTGTTACTTTTCAAATGTCTTTGGAGTTTGTTCTGACTCATTTTACTGTAATCACCCATTTCCTTTTTCTGTGGACATTATACTCTATAGGCATCATGTTTTTCCCTTTCTCTTGCTTTACTTGATCTTTACACACCTCTGTCAACAAAATTCTGTGGAAACATTTTGAGAAAACTGTGTAGTTATGTAGAAGTGACAAATAGAGTAAACAAACTGTTGAAAAGGTTAAAAGACGGTCGAAGACATTTGAGGCAGGTTGGTCAGCATTTCGGTTTTGAGCATTAATAATGCTGTGTGTCAGTTTCTGAACTTTTCACGTTTTTATTTTGATAGAGCCATTAATATGAAAGAGTATACACTGTCCATTTAGAAGAGTAAAAGGGAATGAAATTCAGAAATACTGAAATTATACACTGCTCAATAAAAAGGGAAAGAAGTGAATTTGACAACTAGGAAAGATCTATAGAGTCAAACACTGCTCTGAATCTAAATCTGAACTATAAAACACATTAAAAATACAATGATGGTATTAAATAAATGAAGGTAGTTTCAATACAAGGTGATCTTAATGACCCCCACACCCTTTGTGTGACACAAGCACTACAACAACTGAAATAGTCAAAGGATGTCAAAGCCAAATTTCAAATGGGGGAAAAAAGTCATTCCACCAGAAAATTAATTGCCCTGCTTTGATAAATCAATCTCTTTGTACATAAAATGAAAAAATATCTTTTCACATTAAGAAGGAAAATAAAGTATTTACTGTACAGAAAGTATCAACTAATTTGAAAACTTTGAGAGGAATGTTCCAGTCCCAGCTTGTGGAATCTCACAATCTTTGTTCAGTGCAGTTTCAGAACTTTGTTAAAAAACTTTTAACTTTTAAGATTTTGGTAACCAATTCTGATGATAAGAAAAGTCGTAGAAAAATAAAGTAGGATTCTCAAGATTAAAAGACCAAATGCCCTTAAAAGTTTTTTTTTTCTTAAAATCTCCACAAAATGGGAGAGGAACAAATTCACAAATATTATACCCCTATAACTATGAAAAAATGTATTTTTTGAATTTCATTTTTATTTAAAACTTTAGGATATGCACTGAAGGCAGAAAATGGAATAGAAAGGGTGTTGTTGGAAATTCTGGAAACTTGGGAACTTTTTAGCGACTGTCTCCTTCAACCAACACTCAAACTCTTGGAGGAAAACATATTTTCCCGCTGAGGCCTCTTCCCTCTGACAAGGTCTGGTTTATCATGCTGAAAGCAGGGCAGCTGGATGTGATAACTATGGTTGCTGAGGTAAAATGCTGTGATGGAGACATAAGGAAAAGATCTGAGTCAGATATGGTGCATCGGTGCATTGTGGGTGTGAAAAAAAGAGAGACATAAATATTAGTGGAGCAGAACACACCTTACATTCAAAACTGAAGCACCGAATAAATGTAAGCTGACTTGGATAATATATTTTTACAGAAGGATAAAACATAAATATTCCATCCACAGGTGTTGAAAGGTTATTTCAACACTATTGAATATTTTCCTAGTGGAAGTGCTATGTTAGTATACCAGCAGCTTAAAAACTACATTGAGCACAAAAGTACAACAAAAGTACACATGAAAGCGAAAGCTCTTCATTTATTTTCAATTCCATGAAAAATATATTATTAAATTCAAAGGGAAATTAAACATTGTTGCAATGCATGTCATGTAAGATGGTTATTTAAAAGTTGTTGTATTATGGTCAGTATCACAGTGGACATAAAGAAGTCTCTAACTGAATACACTTTGATGTTGCATGATTGTCTCATGAAGAGTATGCTCAGGATTGTCTGTTAGGTTCTTCATTTTATGGCATGGTCTTTGTCTTTACATCTTTTGAATATGTTTTTCAATTTTCTCTTCAAAAAAGCCTTTAATTAAACTTTTATTGAGCTGTAAATAGAGAGAAAGACAGAGCAATCAGAACCCAAGACAACATGCTTTTATTACTCCTGGTAATAAAGCTGTGTAATTTTATTACATGGTTTCTATATAATAATAATAAAGATTATGAATATGATTAATATTATTATTATATATAACTCTGTTGAGGACTACAGCATGTGCTCTACCAAGTCAACCAAGCAGTGGTTTTATCTGCGGTCGATGTCTTTCATACTTCAATAAGTCTACATGAGTTTCTGTTTGAAAGTTAATGTATCTACCTAAATCAAATTTCCTTTCCCTGAAGTGCATGACATGACTTCTGGGGAGTCAAGTCATGGACATGACTAAATTATCCATTTGTGAAATGCCTGAAATACCCCTTTTATTTACATCTTAAATATTTTACAGCCAGAACATGCATTTCATTAGTGGTCAAGGAGCTTTTTGGCAGACATTCAGGGCTTGAGGTATCTAAAACCTCTCAAAGAGAATGCAAAGGTAAACACATTATGTTAACGTCAATACAATATACACTATATTGCCAAAAGCATTTGCTAAACTGAAGCATATGGGTATGCAGATTGTTTTTACAAATAGCTTGATAAATTCAAGTGTGGAACTGTGTTAGGATGTCACCTGTGCAACAAATTCACTCGTGAAATTTCCTCACTTCTAAATATTCCACAGCTGTATTATAATAAAATGGAAGCGTTAGGGAAAGACAGCAACTCAGCCATTAAGTAGTAGAGCACGTAAACAGACGGAGCGGGGTCAGTACACGCTGAAGCGCACAGTGCATAGAGGTCACCGTTACACTCTGGTGCAATGGTCTCAATCACTACAGACCTCCAAACTTCATGTGGTTTTCATATTAGCTCAAGAACAGAGCAGAGATCCTCATGAAATGGGTTTCCATGGTGACCAGCTGCATCCAAGCCACACATTACCAAGAGCAATGCAAAGCGTCAGATGCAGTGGTATAAAGTGGACTCTAGAACTGTGGAGGCTCGTTCACTGGAATGAAGAATCACGCTTTCTGCATAAGGCAACTTGATGGATAACTCTGGGTTTGGCGGTTGCCAGGAGAACAGTACTTGTCTTACTGCATTGTGCCAAGTGTAAAGTTTGGTGGAGTGGGGATCATGGTGTGGGGATGTTTTTCAGAAACTGGACTTGGCCCCTTAGTTCCAGTGAAAGGAACTCTGAATACTTTGACATACCAAGACATTTTGGATAATTCCATGCTCCCATTTTTGTGGGAACGGTCTGGACCTGACCCCTTCCTCTTCCAACATTACTGAGCACCAGAGCACAAAGCAAGGTCCATAAAGACATGGATGGCAAGGTATGGGGTCAATGAACTTGACTGGCCTGCAGAGTCCTGACCTCAACCTGATAGAACACCTTTGGGATAAATTGGAGCAGAGACTGAGAGGCAGGCCTTATTGTCCAACATCACTATGTGACCTCACAAATACACTTCTGGAAGAATGGACAAAAATCCCCTCCTCCTAAATATTGTGGACAGACTTCCCTGAAGAGTTGAAGCTGTTCTAGCTGCAAAGGGTGATATTGAATCCTCTGGATTAGGAATGGGATGTCAGTTAAACTCATATGTGGGTCGAGGCAGGTGAGCAAATACTTTGGCAAAATAGGGTATGAAGGCATTTGAAACATAGGGCAGAGATTGTGTGATTACAGTAAATTATATTGAGGAATGAGGGTTTTGTCCAAGTCTTGAGTCATAAGTTAAAAATCTGGTTCTACTCAAAACAGTGCAATGGGCACGTGGCTAAAAGATGACAAAACTAAAGGATTGGACTTTAACCTGGATGCTTAAGGCCTGAGTCCACTCTGGGGACTCCACTCTAACTCTTTCAGAATGTCAGTGCCCATCAGTTTTTTCAGTTCACGGTTCCAAAACAAGCTGTCATGACATAATAGGTAAGATTTTCTATTGCTGTTTTTAAATCACACTAGTTTTCAGAAGGTTTTGACACAGTATGCATTAGTAGGTTATTGTTTCTGGTTTTACTTTGCAATTCATTTCATTTGGCTTTTATTCTTTTCTTTCATATTATATTAGTTATAAAATAACTATATAAATTTCTTGGTTTGATGCGTTTTAGTACTGTACATCACTTGTTTAAACAAATTGCTTTCAAGCTCATTGAGACGTGTAGTTAAATAAAGTGTAGTTAAATACATACAAAACTTCTTTATAAATAAAACAAATTTACTTTTGGATATAATTACAATATTTATTACATTATGTATTTATACTTTACATACCTTCTTAATCTGGAGTTATTTCTGTTTCCTGGTGTACAACAACTTTGGTAACAGACATATCTGGGTGCTGCTCCTTTGCCTCTTTAATGGCCTGAGCCAAAGCCTGAAGAGTTGCCATGAAACAGAAAAAGCTAGATTAGTAAAACACAACATATAAAATACATGTCAAAATTACAATTCAGGTGTCTAAGCTAAAATGAAGCAGTGCTGTAGATTTGAAAAGCTCTCACTTGGTCTATACATGTTCTATACGTTTTCAGTTCAATGTACCTTAAACGGTTTTCTTCATTGTCATTATATTTCTTTCTGATGCTAGGCAGCCCATATTTAGCCCATATATATACTATGTATGAGAGATTCTCATGGAAGATCAAAGCAGACAGATTAGTTAACCAAATCTAATTAACCTGTTAGATTTGGCTAATAGGTTAGATAGATTAGGGTTTTTCCACGCAAATGTTCTGATTTATAAAACAATGTGAAAATGTGCGGTCTCACAATTTTCACTATTTCAACACTGACCCAAGTGTATAGCTTGTTTTTGAAACAGGTGGAATGCCAACATAGATGGTTAGGAGGAGAATTGAAGCCAGACTGCGTCATGATTTCGTACATCGCTAATCACATATTGAACTTTAACCATAGATCGACTTTATCATAAGCATTTGGAAACGCAATGACCAGTGCCGCCATTTTGGATGTTGAAGTTCTGAAACAGGGTTGTACTGTCCCAATTCTCACAGTTTTGCACACTTGTAAACCTGCGCACTCGAAACCTTATGTGCACTTGACTGAATCCACACTTCACAGAGGGGAGTTCACACTGAGCATTGGGCCCAGGCCACTGATGTAAAACTGTGAAAACAACAGAAAAAGTCCCAGTATGCTGATAGGTAAAATTTAAGAGTTCCATATCAAACCATTTGCCGCACTGGTGTTGTCCCGTAAAATTAATGCTCTTCTGGTATCCATGGAAGTATTTCTTTATTTAAATGGGTTCATTTTTCTGAGGGAGGTACTGTGGGTGTATTGTGATTGTCATAATTATACATTTACAAGAGTAATATTCCATTGTAGGACTTCCCCAGGCAGAACATTAAAACACTTTTCAATACAATTTGCTGCTTTGGCATGACAACAACGCCAAAGTACATGTACAAATCCTACAATAAAACAAAATACAGAAAATGGGTAGCCCTGTTGGGTTGGTTGAGAAAGCCATTATAATTGCTTGCCCTTGTAATTATTATTATTATACTTTTCCACTGAAGCGCATACTGTAGTCTGCCCTATGTAACTTATTAAAATTGGCATATAACTTCAGGACCTACACCGCTACTCAGACACTCACATAGGCATAACTTTCTGTAGGACTGGTGTGGACAAGCCCTCACCTGTTTCGGCCTGACAGAGACAGTCCCCACCAATATTTAGTGCACCTTTTTACCTTAATGTGCCTGTATCTATTTGTGGACACTGTTCAAACATTAACAGCCAGTGAACGACCGCTTTTTAAAATTCCTTTGTAAAATGTATCATTGATCTATATTAGTGACTTAATGTGCGCAGCAGTGCGCCACATGCATTATTGCTGAGGGAATATCGGCGACCCGGAAAATGGCACAAGCAAAGAATCTGAAAAAGGGACACAATGTTTTACTATTAACTGTCAACGCTATGACAGCAAGGTAAGGTCCAAGCGATGCACATTTCACAGGTCAGTAAAAACATTTTACTTCAGAAAATGTATAAAGAAAGTAAAGAGGAGGCTAAATACTCCTCAGTGGCTCAACTACATTCACAACCTCAACATCTACTTGTGTCATGCAGTTCGATGTCTTTCGATTCAGTTAACACAAAAGTGAGGCGACCCACACATCTACTTTCTGACATTTTATTATTAGAGCAGGTGTTTATTAGAAAATCAATAATGTTCAGGCTATCACTTATTAGTGATCACAAAAACAAACATCAAGCCTGAAAACTCAAAAAACATAAAACTGTAAAAGAGTGAATGTTTTTTTGTGTGTGTTTTTATGGATTTTGGTGTGGGAAATGTTTTTGTGTTTTTTAATGTTAATTTCTGACACATTTCAATCAATCAATCAAATTTTATTTGTATAGCACATTTCAGCAGCAAGGCATTTCAAAGTGCTTTACATCATAAACACAAAACACAAAGTCATGCAACATAGAATCAACAACACATTGTTCCATCATTAAATTTTTAATGGATTACGTTTCAAATAAAACTCTAAACAGCTGGTTTTTAGTTGAGATTTAAAGGAAGTCAGGGTTTCAGCTGTTTTACAGTTTTCTGGAAGTTTGTTCCAAATTTGTGGTGCATAGATGCTGAAAGCTGCTTCTCCTCTTTTGGTTCTGGTTCTGGGATGCAGAGCAGAACCAGAACCAGAACCAGAGAGTCTGGAAGGTTGATACAACAACAGCAGATCTTTAATGTATTGTGGTGCTAAACCGTTCAGTGATTTGTAAACTAACAACAGTATTTTAAAGTCTATTCTTTGAGCTACAGGGAGCCAGTGGAGGGACTTTAAAACTGCTGTTATGTCTCTATCTTCCTGGTTTTAGTGAGAACAGGAGCAGCAGCTTCTGGATCAGCTGCAGCTGGAGGATTGATTTGTTGGACAGGCCTGTGAAGACACTGTTACAATAATCAATGCGACTAAAGATAAACGCATGGATGAGTTTCTCTAGATCTGGCTGAGACATTAGTCCTCTAATCCTGGAGATATTCTTCAGGTGATAGAAGGCCGACTTTGTAATTGGCTTTATGTGGCTCGCAAGGTTCAGGCCCGAGTCCATCACGACTCCCAGGTTTCGGGCTGATCGCTAGTTTTTAGTTGTAATAACTGAAGCTGTGCATTGACTCTAGATCTATAGCTCTAGATCTATAGCTCTAGATCGTTCCTCTTTAGGTCCAAAAATAATGACTTCAGTTTTGTTTCTGTTCAGCTGGAGAAAGTTTTGGCACATCCACACATTTATCTGTTCTAAGCATTTATTCAGTGATTGGATGGGGTCAAAGGTCATCTGGTGACATCGTAATGTAGAGTTGAGTTTCATCTGCATAGTTATGGTAGCTAATATTATTTCCTGTTATAACTTGAGCTAGTGGGAGAATATAAATATTGAATAAGAGGGGTCCTAGGATTGAACCTTGGGGTACCCCACATGTGACCTTTGACCTCTTTGATGAGAAGTTTCCAATTGAATCAAAGAAATTCCTGTTCTTCAAGTAAGATTCAAACCAGTCGAGCACTGAACCGGAGAGTCCAACCCAACTTGTTGTGGATCTTCGGAGGGCTGGATGGTGTTCCTTCAGCCTTTCCCGCCAGGGGGCCGTAAATTATTCTGCAGTTTCCTTTACACCGACAACTACAAACAGGCCAATATGTTGGTCTAAGGAGACATGAGTATTGTTTATGTCGCTGTTAATTTTCTACATTACCGAAGCTACTAAGTTATCTATTATTGAGTTTGCAATTTAATATTGGATTGAGCTGATTCTAAGTTGATGGAAGAAGATTAATTAGTATGAGGTACACTCTCTGCTATTGGTGAAGGCGGACACTTTTTTCTCTGTTCCCTTCTTCCTTCCTTTCTTCCCCAATGTTTCTTGTTCTGTTTTCGTGCTGCTTTTTTTTAGCTTTTCTTTGCACATCCTCCTCCTTTAATCTACACATTAAAGATCTGGTTAACTGGTCTCTCATTAATGCAATTAATCAAACTTTCTCAACAGGAAGACTGGGCACAGGAGAGCCCACTTGTCCTGCTGGGATTCATCCTGGATTTATTTGGAGTCATGATAATTAGATTTCTCCTGTTTGGAGCTTGTGGATACCTGGTATACGCACAAATTTGTGATGGACTGAGTTGAACTAGTGAGCACCCAGACTGACGTGCTGTGAGACAGAGGCACAAGTTGGATGCAATTCTTTTGTAGGCAAACTTTGCAAGAACTCACTAGCAGGATACAATCGATCTTGGAGAAGTTGCTAGTTTTCGGCCCGATGGGAATGACCACGCTAATTTGGATGATTGGAAATAAGAGATGTACCGTTTGAGACCTTGGGGTGGAGAGAAATTTTAAGTTTGCCCGTTCTACAGAGAAATTGTTTATTCTGAATCTGGCTCCCTGTGTCTGCCACCCTGGAGTTTATTTATTTATGCTATCTGGCCACAAGGAAGGAAGGGATGCAACACACAATTTAGCTGACAATGAACATTAATAAGGGGCACTGGCTCATATTGGGAGGAACACTACATTTATTTTCAGGACTCATGCGTTTAAAACCTTTTGGGACAAAAAAAAACCCTCCTGAAAAATTGCTGACTTGGTAGACGAGCACAGAGCACCGAGGTAGGCAAGAGAAGTTCATCGGGAGGGCGATGTAAGGGGATGGACCTGCTGGGTCGGGCGAGGAACCCATTGTAACGGCGTGCAATTCTAGTCGAATTTATTTTCTCTAGGATTATTGTCAGGTTTTTTTTTTTCCAGAGTCTGAGTGGCTTTTGTGTTATTTTGTCTCCTCTTTGGTTTTGATGCTTTCTCCCTGCCACAGCTTTTTGTTGTTTTCCTTGTTTTGTTTGTGGCAGACCAACTGCGATGTGTGTTACCACCACAATCAATGAGCTGGAGTATGGAGAGGACACAGAGCTGTGACAAATTTCTTCTTATTAGTTCATTTGGTTCTTTGACAGTTTTTACCCCTGCCTCTGTATTTAAGCTCCTGATTTCCACTCAATTACTGGTCTCACTGATCCTGCTCCATATCCTGTTTGGCCCTCTATGTGATCCATAGAGGGCCAAGACATGTAGATTTCACTTATTTAAAATTTAGTCTTTGGAAGTATGTATTTTAGGGGTTTCTGTACCTTGGCTTTGCGAAACAAAACAAGCATTCATCTTTAAAGATGAGTGTAATTAGCTAATTATTTAGATTGCATATATAGAACCTAATCTGTTGTAATTGTGAGCTAATAAACATTCTTAGCACTTTCTGAAACTATCAAGTCAACTCTGTTCTATATTTTCAAACTACAATCTGTTCTTTCATGATTTTTACCTTGTCATGATCAATTGCTGTGTCTCCAGTGATGACAATTCTCTTCTCAATTCGAGTCTCAGAAATTCCTCCTTTCACCGTCTACAACAGATAATTTACACAGACTGAAACACATATACTTTTACAGGCATTCATCGTTATTGTGTCTCTATATTGTCTCTGAAGATATAAAAATTTAGTCACTGGTCATAATGAAGATATGTAACTTTTTCAGCAGGAGCATAATACTTTTGTGAGGTATTTTAAAGAATTTGTAGATTTGCATGAAAATAGCTAGCAGCAAAAAATGCTTAAACATGCTTTGTGTTCCTTTTACTCAAGTAAATTCAAGAAAAGGTTGGTAATAGAGTTATGCCAACTAAGATTTAGAAATTTATAGACTTGTATCAGTCTACTGCATTAGACTGCAACCTGTGTATATAGGTTCAATAATTCATTGGCCTTTTTTATGTTTAATAAAACCATTTTCCCCACTTTTAAATGTTATGAAAAATTATGGTTTTGCTTTTCCATTTTTTGACTAAAACAAAACTGATCACTCATGAAGAAAGCCAGATTTATAAAGTTTCTGTTGATGTGCATTATCCATTTATATTTACATAAAAAATGGGTATAAACATTTTGTTATATAAGAAAAGCCATACTTTATTTGGAAATAAAAGAGACTTCATCTCAATGTCAAGCAGACATGTGGAGGAAATGTAAATGAATCTGAATCAGCTTTCTAAATATTTTAATTGTGCTTATAAACAGAATAAATCATACAGTGCTTTTTCCACATTTTCTTTATCCACTGGTGAATTTAAATAAGTCCACTGTGCAACCTGTAATTAAAAGTAATATTTTTTGTATATATATTTTAAAGAAAGTTTGTCTAAAGATTTCATTTGCAGAATAAACGAAATTTGTTAATGCTCTGACTTTTGAGTGCAACAGCACAGATACAAACATTGTAGCTGATGATCTTATATATATGTTTCAGCATTCAACATTTATTGTGTTCCATAGAGGGACAACTTTGGTTGTCTTCCAGTACATGTAGAAGATTTGCACTGCAAAAGGAATGGAGATGGGATATTCCCCCAAAGCAAAATGGGCTTTTTCAGATTAATGGTATGACAAACTTTATTTGGTTCATCTCATCTTGGTGCAAAATAAGCTTGGAGGCTGTAGGGCTATCAAAACACCTGTGGTTATTATATTGTATTTATTGTTCAAAGGAAAACAAACTCAGAGTTATGCAATTATAAATTTGGTTAAATTACTTTAGCAGATCATACAGTGGGCCCAAAAAGTAAAGTTGGTTTGGTGAGCTTAATGTTTTTAAACATTCAATGTGACTAAGGCCAAAAGTTGAAGAAATATGTAACAGTATTTTATAATTTTCCATCAGAACTTTCAAATAAACAACCACATTCAAATGTAATTTTGTCACAATAAATAAATACTTTTAGGGTCTGAGTTGTAATAGAAATCCATTTTTATAACTGCTCTCAATTAAATTTTTTGTGTTGTATGTAAGAAACATTTTCTAGTCGAGAATGCAGGCTGCACTATTCTGAACCTCATTTGTTTGATGAATGGCTTTTTAAAAAAAATCTCTAAAGCATTTTTTTTTTTTAGAAATCTATATCTATCAAGCTGAGCTAAACTAGAAAAAATAAATAAATCAAAGTTCTCATTAAGTCACCCAGAACATGTTTTAGTGAATTCTGTTGACGTTATTGCCTGTTAATGATATGCACAGACCTTAGTGATCTGGGTTGTGGTGGTGGTGCTGATAGTCTCAGAGGTGATAGTCTGGGCACTCAGCAGCACTCCTGAATCCTTCTCTGCTAGGGTTTCCACAGGCTGTCGGAGAAATGTACAGTTAATAATCATTAACTGTTCAGGACCATCATACTGATCTCATTTGTGACTAATTTGAATGTTGACCTCAGACATTTCTGGTGTTGTTTTGAAAAGTTAGTTTTGTTTAAAGGCATCACTTACTGTGGATTAACTAAAATTTTGATGGAAACACTATTTTATTAGTAACAATAATATATTAGTTTGCCCTGCGACAGACTGGCGACCTGTCCAGGTGACCCCGCCTCTCGTCCAGAATGTTAGCTGGAGAGACAGCAGCACCGCCTGACCCCACTAGGGACAAAGGTGGAAGAAAATGGATGGAATATGTTAGTTTAACTTCTAATTTGGACTATAGCTAAACTGATTTATGAATTAAACTTATGTCTACTGTTAACATGCAGCTATTTATACAAAATGAATACAATTTTACACTAATTTTCCAAGAATCCTGTGCAAAACAAGTAAAATAAATTTCTAACTAAATGAAATATTATTAGAGACCTTAAGACAAATTGTGACCATTTCTGCAGAGAAACCTTGCACACAAAATGTAACTATTTGTTTTTACACAGCTACGGTTTATTTACCACAGTGTTTTCTAACCCTGGTCCTGAAGCCAAACTGTCCTGCATGTTTAATATTTTTCCCTGCTTTAATGCACTTGTTTCAGCTGATTGCAGTTCAGCTATACCCGTTAATCTACTATCACCAAATGAAATTAGTTTGGCTGAAGCAAGGCCCACCTGAAACATGAAGGATCATTGTTGGGGAAAAAGAGTAAGGAGACACTTTAATTCATTTTCAGGGTGGTCCTGTCTCCAACTTGTTGACGTGACCTTTGACTATGCAGTGATAAGAACGTGATAAGAATCAGGGCACTACTTAGTAGGGAAAAGTCAAGGTCCTTCTAAGGATTCTGCTTAAGGCCTTTGTTCCCTAAGCAAGTTGCTTTTCACTTAGTATCAACCATATCTTTCTATTTTACCTTAATTTGGCAATATTTTATATTCATTTATTATTTTAAAGTCTTCATTTTCATACACTTTTGCAAAAAAAAAAAAAATAAAATAAAGAGTAGACAATGAATTTCCGTATTCTAATAAAACCTTCAATCATTTTTTTCAGTTTTTCTTGATGAGCTTGGTTGAATGTCTCTTTCTTGTTCCAAATTCCTGTAAGGAGGCCAGGGTCTTTTTCCACCAGAGGGAGCCAGGAAGCTGCTGTGGAGGTTGGACCTGCTGAGTGAACTCACACACCTGCTAATCAACTAGGCTCATCAGGCTGAGGACAAAAGGAGCTAGTTGTCAGTCCTTCAGAACTTCAGTGGTTAACCTACACGACACTCTGAGCCCTCTGATGTCCCAGTGATACTGTGTTCCTTGTGCTACTTTTGATATCTCCTTGATTTACCTCTTTGTTTTCCCCTTAAAAAAATTCCACTGGTGATTTCTTGGATTCTTCTCCTCCAGTCTTTGTGGTTGCTCCTTGTGATCTCAAAATTCCAGGAAAAAACCTGTGGTTCACGTGCCACGACTGGCAATGTTCCACTGTAACTTGTCCATACTCCAAGGTCTCCATCATTCTGCATCTTCCTTCTGGTCCTACACAAGATATCCCTTGCTTCAGCAGTTCAGCTCTAAGATCCTCCACATAGGTTCAGTTCAAGTCTCTTTCCATCTCCCCCTCGTGAACTTATCATTATGAGTAAGATAATTATTTTTCGTCTACATTCTACCCCGTTGTACTCACCATTTTCCCACTCTGTTCCAGTGTTCCCATTCCTGTTTATTGTTAGTTTATAAGTTTATTGTCATTCAATAAACTTTATTCATCTTTTTATCTGCCACCTGAGAGTGTTCTGTATATGGGCCAAAAGTTTGCCTAAAACCATGAGATAACAATGGGGCCAGGTTGATCCAGCAGACTCTCAGGATTGTGCTCTCTATGATACCATCTGAAGATCCCTTTGCAAACAATAAGATACCACAAATCAACATCAGTTCAACTCTAACAGAAACTCCAACCACAGCGACCTTCTCCACAGCCATCAGAAACCTTCAACTTTGTGCCAGTTCCTCACATGGTTCTTGCTGTCCTCCTCATCCTTCCATGACATCAGCTAACCCTAACCCTACGCAGGACAAATATCTGTAGGTTTCCATTATAATGCTCACTAGTTTTCAATCAATCACCTTAAAGTTTCCCTCATGATGATATGAATATTTCCTAAAAATGATCACTTCTCATTGGCAAAGCTTTAAAATGGCCAGAGCCCGTTTTCAGGGCCAGACCAATTTTGGCTGTTCATTTAAGGATTTTTTTGTTGGAATTCAAACACCTATTTAGTCAAGAGTCTGACTACACGACCCTACCTAGAAATTTGTGGACATTAAGACAAAAACAACAAACTAACAAACTTTGCTATTGAGTTGAGAATTAAAGCTTCAGCCTCAGGTTGGGTTTTGGCTGCATTAATGAGTGGATTTTTCACGTTCTTCTGAATGACTTTCTAAAAGACGATCGAGCTCCCTTGGATGAACCAAGCACCTTGGACTGAGCTCACTACCAATCCATTTAGATAACCGGCTTTGTGACCAAAACAGAGAGAAATCCAAATGACATGTCTCCAGATTTGTTTCCTTACCTGTTAGATCTAGTCATCATTGCCAGATTTCTCCCCACATTTCTTAGAACAATCCAGAAACTATACAGATAGACTCTGAGAACTTTTGTAGTAAGTTTGGCAATATAACTTTTAACTGTGTTTATTAAAAAATTATAAAATAGTTTTGTGCCTAGGCTGCAGGTTAATAGGCAAATGTATGATCATGTTTGTCAGGTAATATTAAGATAGATATTATTGAACATTCATTGATGTGTTCTTATTAATTTAACTAAGTGGAACCATGCATACGGTTTTGTTTGTTCTTAGACCTACAACCAGTACATGAATATTTTTCAAATATTTTTTCATCATCTTCCTCACTCTTATTGTTGTGTTTTTCAGCTGCTGCTCTGCAGTTGACCCAAAGCTGACTGACAAGGACTACAGGAAGACTGGAGGAAGGCATCAAGGATCCAAAGTGACATCAAACTTGGATTACCCCAACTCATACTGTTTCCCTGGTTCATAGAGTACCAGACTTAACCTCATGGATGCTGTTCTTCCATGAACAATAGAATTTTGTTCTGTCAGCCAAAAATGAGTCAAATATGTCTCCATTTCTATGCTTGTTTTAATAAATTGTAATATTAATGCCATGTTGCAAATTCTAAGTTTGTGTACACAACTTTTTGGAAATATGTTAATGTCAGAAAATTTTGAACTACATAATGCCCATCGTCTGCCAACACAATTGTGTGTTTAACACCAGTAAGGAAACTTTTAATGGTATGTTATGATATAGACCAGAAATGCCCAAAGTTGGTCCTCGAGGGCCAGCATCCTGCATGTTTCAGTTCTCTCCCTGTTGGCAATAAAAACCTTTTCAGCATGTCAATGTTCCTCTTAGACCTTCTAATGAGCCATTATTTGATCCAGGTGGCAAATGATGAAACAGAGATAGAACTAAAACATGCAGGACGCATGTTTTTTGGACACCACTGATGTAGAGCTATCAGACCAAAAATGGACATGAATCAGTATTGATCCTTTAACTTTGATTCAATACAAAATCAACACAAATGTGCATGCAGATCCACTTTCAGATGATGGCTGACTCAACATTGATATTGTGTCAGTTATGGTTGAAACCCTAATGTTGATTCAACATGCAAGTCACCGACCACTTTCAAAATCATTTCAATGTCAGGCTTCAACGTGGATTCAGTGTTTCTGTCTAACTATATTTTAACATTGATTCACTCATACTTTTCTGTCTGTGTCTACTCTAATATCAAATTGGGTTAAAGACCCAAACAGCCTTTAACCCAATACTGTTTGGGTTACAGCATAGATAGATAGTGGTCAGACTGCATCTTGTTGTGATGGAGTCTGACCACAGGTCACTGTTTTTGATTCCTGCATACCTCCCCTGACGAAATCTGCGCGTACCATTGTAAGAACCATCACAATCTGGCCTGACGACGCCTAGCTGCTGTCATGTTCCGGGGTTTTCTTTCAGCTCCTTGTGGAGTTTTCGTGTATGCATTGGTTTTGTTTCCACCACTAGAGGGAGCCTATTCCATTCGGTCGGAGGGCGAGGATGACGTCATCCCACACCTGAGGCGAATTGAGCTCATCAGCGAGACGTTCAAGAGAGGCAGACTGCCAGTCCTTCGGCGCCTGAGTGTTAGCCAGTCATGGTGCTTCCTCCTGGCCTCTCGTTGTCCGAGCCCCCAGACTCACTTCATCCGTGAACCATCCAGCTCCTCCAAGATTCCCACGACTGGCAGTCGTACTGTTTCTCTACCGCCGCCGCTCTTAGCCTACCTGTCCGCCCTCCGACGTGCTCCCGTTTCTTCCTGGATTTCAGCCAGCCAACATCACCGCGACCTGGAACCACTGAGAACTGTAAACCCCGGACATTTCAGTACTCCCTCACCTCGCTAACCCAGCGGTCCTCAAGTAAGACTTATTCCCTCACTCGCACGCAATATTTCACTAGAACCTGAACTCACCATCTACTCTGCCCCTCCAGTGAACCGCTTGTTTCCTGTTGTTGCCTTTCTCCCTGGACCGACCTGAGCCTTCAGTGCTCTGCAGCAGTGTTTTCAATAAACTTCACCTTTTTTTGTACCACAGTTTCCCCTGAGTGGTGTTCTGCATTTGGGCTAACTATTCACTCCCATTATGACAGCTGCATCTGCTGGGTTGTTTTGAAAGTACAAACTGGGACATTTTTAAACACTGAAGGACTGGAATTAACTGAGTGTTTTGTGTTGCATAAGACCTGCACTGAAAATATCACTGTGAACAAACATATCTGGGTCTTCCCCAACTATAAGGTATGGATGATCCAGGAAATCCAGCAGCTGCTAAAAGAAAAGAACATCATGTGAGGACAAGACCCTCCACAGCTTGGAAATCTTAAGAGCAGTCACTAAGGCTAAAAAGGACTTTGAGAGGAGGACAGAGGAGAACCTGGACAACAACAGCAGGCAGGTTTGGGTGGGAATCCACCACATCACCAACTACAGGACCAGTCAGTTGAAGGTGACATCTCACTGAAGTGGTTCAGGAAAAGATGAACCATTTCTTTGCTCATTTCAAGGCTGGGCTTTCAGTAGCACCTGTTCCGAATGTGAGGTGCGACGCTTGTTGTAGACTGCCATCCCCAGAAAGGCAACAGGACCTGAGGGTGTTTCTGAACCTGTGCTCCGCTCAACTGCAGAGTAGCTGGCTGGGGTCTTAACTAAGATCTTTTATCTATCCCTTATCTCAAGCAAAAGTCCCATCCTGTCTGAAATCTTCACCAAAGTTCCCAAGAGTAAAAAAATCACCTGTCACTTGCATGAACGACTAGTGGCTATCTCCGCATTGGTTATGAAATGTTTTGAAAGATTGGTTTAGAGTCATATCTTGTTGTTCATATTCCTCTCACCTTTGATGCACACTTGTTTGTATGCCTACTCATTGGTGTCTGTCTACAGAAACAAGTTTGCAGAGCTAACAGGTAAACTGAAGATACTGTTGCCACTGTCCTCCATATTGTCTTGTCCTGCAGCACCGGGAGAGATATGCAGGCATTGTCTTCATTGTTCATTGATTTCAGCTCTGTATTCAAAATCATCTTTCCTGACAGACTGGTGTGCAAACTGGGAGCCAAGGAAATACTCCTTTCCACCTGTTGCTGGATTAAAGACTTCCTGACAGATTTCACACAAAGAGCTAGAGTGGCACCCCAAAACTCCTCAGTTATCAGCATCAGCACTGGCTCTCCCCAGGGCTGTGTCTTAGGCCATCTGCTCTTTATGCTGTGCACACATAATTATGTTTCAGTCCATCAAAGAAGCACCTTTGTTCTATTTTCAGGGGACGCAACTGTAGTTTCATCTCATGGGGAGATGAGTCTGCATACAGTAATGAGGTGGAGCGACTAACAGAGTGGTGCACAGATAACAACTTGACCTTAAACACAGCCAAGACCAAGGAGCTGATAGTGGATTTTAGAAGTAAAGCAGACATTCTATCACTAAACATCTGCAAGGACTGGGTGAAGAGAGTGTAAAACTTCCATTTCTTACAATTTTACATCATGTATAATCTGGCCTGGATGGGATAAACACAGCAGAACTGATGAATAAATTATGATAGATTATTTCTTCAGAAAAAAAAAATAGAAAAATTGTTGGTTTCATTCTATTGGTGCTCTATTTATTGAAAGCATCATCTTCTATTGTGTCTGTGTGTGATTCTCCAGGTGCACAGCAGCACGAAGGAAAACACCCAGAAGATCATCAGCTGTGCTCTGCTTTCTCTAAAAAAACTCCACAAGTTTGCCTCAGCAAAGTCAGGAACATTTCTAAAGACTCCTTCCACCCTGGGCATAATTAGCTCCAATTGCTGCCAAAATGGCTATATTTACCAGAGCATTAAAGCAAGGACAAACAGGCTGAGGAACAGTTTACACCCAGTAGCCATCAGGGCACTAAATGCCACCTTGTATTACATCTAATGCCTTTATTCTGTTCATTTAATTTTATTACCTGTTTTTATAATGACACCAAAGAAAACATGCACTTTTATTTAGACATTTGTCTTTGAAGTCTACATAGATTTTAGAATTCACCAACAGTGTTGGTGAATTCTAGTCTGGGTTTAAGACTTGGCTAATGATTGTGAAAACAAAGTCTGATTTAATTATCAATATGACAAAAAAAAAATGAAAGCTGGGGATGTTTTATTCATGGATAATTTAATTTATGAGTTTCCCTCTTAGATTTTAGACATAGAGAAAGAACAGTAACTTTTATGACATTACTGAATTTGACTTTATGGTTTAACTACATGGGTGTCATATCCAACAGTCACAATTTACTTTAAACAGTGAGTGCAGTGTGTCCTGAAACATTCACAGAACAAAATCTTAAAATTTGCTCATCTCTAAATACCAACATTATAGTGCACTATTGTTCAATATTTTGTTAGAATTTTTAGAAACAACTATACACTACATATAACAAGTAATAGATTCAAGATAAATACTTTCTAAAATATCTATTGAATCTGTGGAGTTTGCTTAATTTCTCTTACCTGTGCTGATTCATATGTGATGGTTTTTGTCTCAGTGTGAACTAAAGGAATGTCCTTGTAGGTCACAGTTCCTCTTAGAGAGTTGGTAACATCTGAGATGGTGACTGTTTGGGCCCTTAGAACTGGAGACTGCAGGAATGAGAAAAACACCAGAAAAAAACAAGGCTTAAAGAATTCACAGTTATTTAACATCTGTATACATTAGTGTATGTTATGATCAAATAACAAGGGTAATTATTGGTCCATAGCTTTAGTCAGTGTGTTATCCAACGTTCTGCAGAGTATTATATAAGGCAGAACATTTTTCCTTACTATGGATAATCAGTTTTGTTAAAAATAAAAAAATGCCTCCGGCTGACCCCAAGAACATGAGCAGTATTTTACAACGACTTCAGTCTACAGAAATGAAGATTAAACTGCTGGAGGTGAACTCTGAGATCAACGCTGCCTGTGGAAATGAAACAACTCTTCCTCAAATCAACGGAGAGGTCGTGCGCCTCGGAACGCTCTGGGTGCCAAGCCGAAACGGGAGTCTCGCACTGTGGATCCGATGAGACGGTCATCAGGGATAACCCCACACTTGCACGAATCAGCGTGGCCGGCTCTGAGCCGAAACCCACCTTCAACTTCAACACCTGCTCCGCCAAAGAAAGACAAACAAGCAGCTGCAACCAAAACGTCTCCACCGACCCTGCTGACCCCGCTTCCAGGGACAAAGCAACCAGCAAGAGCCTCAAAACATTCTGACTCTGTGGGAATCCCACTGAAAAACAGATTTTCTGCACTCCAGCCTGAGCCTCTGAGTGAAACTTCGCCTTCAAACATCAACAGTGAGGCAAGACCAACACATCCATCCCCCAAAGCTCCAAAGGACAAAGCGACCACCAGGAAAACAAAAGGCATCCCAAAAGTGCTTATTGTTGGAGATGAGTCAGTAAAGGGAATCAGTGATGTTTGTAATCCCAAGAAAACAAGAGTGATGCATTTTCCTGGTGACACTGTATCTGATTTAACCAACAAACTGCTCTCTCTAACCACTGATCAGCCAGATACCGAGACTTTAGTTGTGCATGTTGGAGCCAACGATCTGGCAAAGCAAAAGTCTGAGATTCTGAAAAAGGACTTTAATATTCTTCTGGACACTATGGGGAAATTAAAAATGAAGTTATTTCTCAGTGGTCCATTCCATCACCTAAATGGGGAGACGAAAAACACTCCAGGCTGCTCACGATCAGGCTGGCTGATTAAAAGCTGCTCTACCAGCTCAGTGACCTTCATGATAACCTGTGGATCTATTGGCAGCGCTTTCTCCTTTTTGGAAGAGGAGGACGCAATCTTAATAAACATGGGATAAAGCTACTCACTGCAAACCTTTTTTATTTTATCAACAAGGACAGCAACAGGATCATCGCGTCAGAAGAACAGGCTCAAGGATGTCTGACTAGGATGGAGCGCTCCCCGGATCAGGAGCACAATATTCCAAACCAAGCTGATTGTTGTGTTCTGTGTTTTTCCGTGTGTTTATTTGAGTTTTATGTGTCCTGTGTCTCCTCGTTGTCCTGTCTTCCCCTTGATTGCTCCCAGGTGTGTCTTGTTTCCTTGATTACCCTCAGTGTATTTAATCCCACCTGTGTCCTTTGTTCCTCGTCAGATCGTTGTCATTACTTGTCGTTGTTTTATCGTGCTGTCCGCCTGTTTGACCAGTTGCTACCGGTGTGAGCCCTGGCTTCTGCTCAGCCATGCTGCCTGGCTGCAGACTTATTGTTCACTGTGTGTTCTGGACATTTATCTTCATTAAACCACCTTTTTTTCATCTATCTGTGTCTCCGAGCTTCCGCCTCACCACCTCCACACCACCCACCTCATGACACTGATAAATCGACTGAAGAAAGAGCGACTGCTTCGCTTCCTCCTTCCCCCCTCCTTCTCTGCTCCTCCAATCATTCAGAGGATTCAATAGATACCAATGAAGAAACGTCTTCCGGACCAGGCGTTCTTAAATTTACAGATGGAATGAATCAACAGGTTCGCCTCGCCACGTCTCTCCTTAGCACTCACGAAGCAGACCTCACTTCATTTAAGCCACCTGCCCCTGACTTTCCAGAGGATCCATCACTCTGCGTTTCTGAGGTCTGAAACTGGGGTCCAAATATTATCTTTACACCCATCTTCCTCCAGAATGCGTCTGGCTCACCAGCACCACAAAACAGGACATTACCTGTCCAGATCACTAAAATAAAACTTACAAAAACAGAAATACAAAATAAGACGTCCTGAAGTCAAATGTCAGACCTATCCCCTGCCTAAAGGAACATTAATCTCAGGAACCATCATGACTTTAATATTGACTGTGTGTTGGATGGATGACAATACTGAATCATATGTAGTAATTGAATTAGCATCCCAGAATTACAATTTTTTTAAGTGAGAATATATTTAAGAATATCATAAATTGTAACAAAATCTTTTTTTTTTTTTTTTACCTCTTGAATATCTAGGTATTGAGGTAAAAGGCCATAAATGAACTTTGACATTAACTTTAAACAAAATTCCAACATATGTAGAAAACCTCTTACTGGTTTTAATTAACTTAAATATTAAACAATTATAATCAATACATATGAAATATAAAAGTTCATCAGTGACTTCAACATTCGTATTGTCAACCTCCAAGACAGAGGGGCAAGAAAGCTGTGATATTCTTGTTAATTTTGGTCTAATTAAACATATTAACCAAGCATACCAACAATCGAGGTCACACACTGGACCCAATTATCAGCAAGGGTGTGAATATTTTCAATGTTGCCCTGTGGGATCATTTTGTTGTTATCTTTGAAAGCAGACACAGCATTGAAAAAGCAGAAAACGTTCTTTCACAGACAACAAAGCAGAAACATTTAATCAAATCTACTCTACTTCTCCACCCTTAAGTTGTAATGATGTAGATGAGTTGGTAGATAGTTTTCATTCTAAACTTTCAGATATAATTGACTTCACTGATCCCACTAAAGTGAAGGTTGTGTCTGGTAGGAACAAGGAGAAATGCACAAACTGTGAGATCTCCAAGACAACTTCGCTATATGGCTGTATGTAAATGGCATAAAACTCAGCTTCACGTTTTTAATAAAATCTATGAAGAAAGACTGTGTAGCTATCACTCAACACTAAAACATGCAAGGTTCTTTGCAGAAATCAAAAACAAAAGTACCGTATTTTCCGCACTATAGGGCGCACCGCATTATAAGGCGCACCTTCAATGAATGACATATTTTAAAACTTTTTCCATATATAGGGCGCACCGCTTTATAAGGCGCTACCTTATACATCCATTAGACAGTGCTGCGCTAAAGGGAATGTCAACAAAACAGTCAGATAGGTCAGTCAAACTTTATTGTGAATAAACAACTGTTTTATTATTTTCTCCGAGGTAAAGTATTAATATTTTTGTGACACAGTTTATCTTTTAACAACAGTAAGGTATAACATATAGTGCAACATTTATATTATATAGTGGAGTGGAACGTTTCCTCCATTCAGTAAACACGTAAAAAACATTCTGATGCTGTTACGGTAAATTAAACATTTGTGCAATCACAATATAGTAACACACGTAATAGTGCAAAGCAATAACAATAACAATAATAACTCAAATAATAACTCTAAAGCAATAGCATAATAGGCTATCTCAATGTTGTTCACGTTAATGCCCATATTAACAATATGACCAACCTTGTTCAACTGTAAACACACACACACACAAAAAAACATGTGAAACTCACGTTATCAGTTCATTCCTCATCTACGAATCCCTCGAATTCTTCTTCGGTGTCGGAATTGAACAGCTGGGCTAATGCGGCATCCAACACGCCCGGCTCCATCTCATCGAAGTCGTCATTCACCGAGTCAGTGTCTCTGTTGTTGTCTGTCAGTTCAGTGACAATTCCTGCCTTCTTGAAAGCTCGGACCACAGTTGAGTCTGATATATCAGCCCAGGCATTTACGATCCACTGGCAGATAGTGGCGTATGTCGTCCGGCGCTGTCTCCCCGTCTTGGTGAACGTGTGTTCGCCTTCTGTCATCCACTGAGCTTTGAAAGCTCTGTTGATGCCAACATCTAGCGGCTGGAGTTCTTTTGTCAATCCACCCGGAATGACGGCGAGCACTGAATTAGTGCGCTTCACTTGCTTTTTGACGTTATCAGTGATATGTGAGCGCATGGAGTCGTAGATCAATAGGGACGGAGCTGTGTGAAAAAAGCCACCCGGTCTCTTCACATAAATGTCTCTCAACCATTCACTCATCTTTTCTTCATCCATCCATCCCTTTGAGTTAGCTTTGATGACGACGCCGGCTGGAAAGTTTTCTTTTGGCAAAGTCTTCCTCCTGAAAATAACCATGGGTGGAAGTTTCTGGCCATCAGCCTGGCAGGCGAGAACTACAGTGAAGGATGATTTCTCATTCCCTGTGGTGCGAACATTCACCTTACGTGCTCCAGTTTTATCCACAGTGCGGTTCACAGGAATATCAAAAGTAAGTGGAACCTCGTCCACATTGATGATATGCTCTGGCCGGATCTTTTTTTTCAGTAATCTTGTTTCTGCAGTATGTGCGGAAATTGGCCAGCTTTTCTTGGTAGTCAGCTGGCAGTTGCTGGGAAGAGATTACGTCTTTTCATAAACCGAAAACACCAAGAAGGACCGCCTCTAAATTCATTGATGTTAAGTTCGCGTGCTAGCGTTGTTGCCTTCAATCGAATAGTGATTGTACTGACACTTCTACTTGCTGCTCTCTGCTCAACAACCCACTGTTCAAGTTTGTCCTCTAACTGTGGCCATCTCGCTTTGTTCCCGCGGAAACTCTGTTTCGTCTTCTTTACTTGGCGCAGCTCATCCTCTTGCTTCCTCCACTTCCGCACCATTGATTCGTTAATGTTGAACTCTCTCGCTGCTGCTCTATTTCCGTGTTCTACTGCGTGACTGATCGCCCTGAGTTTAAACTCTGCGTTGTAAGCATGTCTCTTAATAGGAGCCATTTCAGGGTCTTTACAAAAACACACAAATGGAAATGAAACGCCGTTTAATATAGCTATCCCAGTATGCACCGCGCTCTACTTCTTCATCGGGGAAAATGAAGTCTTCTTACCGTAGTTGCCAGACCTGTTGAGCTCAATATTGATCCATATATAATGCGCACCGGATTATAAGACGCATGATCAGCTTTTGAAAAAATTTAAGGCTTTTATGTGCGCCTTATAGTGCGGAAAATACGGTATTATAGTTGCTTGAACCTCGTTAATGTTTGCTACAGTTGACAGGCTCACAAACCCTTCTGTGATGTTACCACCTAAAATTCAATCTAATCCAACCTGCAACAAATTTGCCAGCTTTTTTTTAAGAGAAAATACACAAAATCAGAAGTTTAATTTGCACATCCACATTAATTCAGTACCAATGTTATACCCAAATCTAACAAATACTGGAAAAATTACCCAATTTCAACTAGTTAATTATAAAACCCTAGAAGAAATTATAGCTCAATTAAGCTCAAGTTCCTGCTGTCTCCACACATTTCTTCAAGAAAGTCCTGAATATTATTGGAAATTATCTGATCCAAATAGTAAATTCATCGTGTTCATCAGGTTCTCTACCCCAGCTTTAAAAACTGCAGTTAACAAATCACTGATAAAAAAACAACAGTCTGGACAAATTACAACTTCAAAATTACAGGTCAATCTGAAACCTCCAATTCGTCAGCAAAATTATTGAAAAAAACAGTTTTAATACTACTAGAATTCTGACATGAGCTTGTCTGCTTATTCAGGTGGGCCAACAGGAGTCTCACCAGGACCTTTAAGATGAGAAATTTGAGGGCAATACGACTATACTTATTATAATTCAGTTGTGGGTTTTCTTTGGTACTAGAACAAGGCAGACTGTCTTCCACAACAAGGGAACTGTCAGGTTCTGTGTTTTTCTGTGTTTAATTCTGAGTTTCTGTGTCCTGAGTTCTCCTCGTTGTCCTGTCTTCCCCTTGATTGTTCCCAGGTGTGTCTTGTTCTCCTGATTACCCTCAGTGTATTTAGTCCCTCCTGTGTCCTCTGTTCCTCGTCGGGTCCTTGTCGTTGTCGTACTTTTGTCAGATTGTCGCTCGTTTGTTTTGTGCCGCCCTTAAGACCAGTTGCTACCGGTGTGAGCCCTGGCTTCCGCTCAGTCGTGCTGCCTGGCCGCGGACTCCGTTTATTGACTGTGTTTTTGTGGACTATTTTGTTATTAAATTACAACAACCGTTTACTTACCTGGGTCTCCAGCGTGCTGCCTCACCACCGCCACCACACCACTTCATGACAGAAGGACCCGACCAGAAATACGGTGAGGCTCGCTGAATCAGATCATGGACCCAGAGGGTTTAGAGGAGCTACTCCGTACTATCCGCGAGTATGAGGAGGCAAAGAGTACGTCCACGTTCGCCCTGAAACGGCCAGGGTTCGCGATACGCCTGGGCTTGCTGCTGGACTATTGGGTTCCTCGTCTCCCGCACCCCGCGCTGGTGGAGCTACAGCGGGAGGCAGAGGAGATACGCCGGACAGCCTTTGCTGCCTGGGATGCTAAACCTCTGCCTCCCAGGCCAGACATCCGCTCCGCCAGCCCAGCCCCAGCTCCAGCCTCTGCCCCTCGTGCCGCTCCGCCGGACCCCGCTCCAGCTGCCGCTCCTGCTCCGCCGGACCCCTCTCCGGCTGCCGCTCCTGCTCCGCCGGACCCCTCTCCGGCTGCCGCTCCTGCTCCGCCGGACCCCGCTCCGGCTGCCGCTCCTGCTCCGCCGGACCCCGCTCCGGCTGCCGCTCCTGCTTCGCCGGACCCCGCTCCGGCTTCGGCTGCTGCTCCGCCGGACCCCGCTCCGGCTTCGGCTGCTGCTCCGCCGGACCCCGCTCCGGCTTCGGCTGCTGCTCCGCCGGACCCCGCTCCGGCTTCGGCTCCTGCTCCGCCGGACCGCGCTCCGGCTTCGGCTCCTGCTCCGCCGGACCGCGCTCCGGCTTCGGCTCCTGCTCCGCCGGACCCTGCTCCGCCGGACCCCGCTCCGGCTTCGGCTCCTGCTCCGCCGGATTCCGCTCCGGCCTCCGTGGACTCTGCTCCTTGTGCTCCTCCCGAGTCCCCCAGTGCTCCTCCCGAGTCCCCCAGTGCTCCTTGGCGCCGAGGACGCCCTCCGGACCTCCCCTGTGGGGTCTGCCGCGGGCGCCGAGGACGTCCACCGGACCCCCCTCGACGCCTCTGCCCTCTTTCTGTTTAGTTTTGGACTCTTGGCCCCTCCTTGTGTTTCCGCCCACCTTTTGTGGGTAGCTTTTTGTTTTCTGGACTCTGGCCCTCCTTCCGTCGCCCCTCCGCCCACCCTGGTTTTTGGGTTTTGGATTTTGTTTTTGGGCGTCTGGTAGCCGCCTTTTAAGGGGGGGTACTGTCAGGTTCTGTGTTTTTCTGTGTTTAATTCTGAGTTTCTGTGTCCTGAGTTCTCCTCGTTGTCCTGTCTTCCCCTTGATTGTTCCCAGGTGTGTCTTGTTCTCCTGATTACCCTCAGTGTATTTAGTCCCTCCTGTGTCCTTTGTTCCTCTTCGGGTCCTTGTCGTTGTCGTACTTTTGTCAGATTGTCACTTGTTTGTTTTGTGCCGCCCTTAAGACCAGTTGCTACCGGTGTGAGCCCTGGCTTCCGCTCAGCCGTGCTGCCTGGCCGCGGACTCTGTATTTTTGTGGACTTATTTTCATTAAATAATTTGTTATTCACCATATCTGGGTCTCCAGCGCCTGCCTCACCACCTCCACCACCACACTTCATGACAGGAACTTTCACTTGGGTCTGTCATGAGAACAGATCAAAATGCAGACAGGAGCTGGAATCATGGATCATGTTTCAGTTTTAATCTAAAATGATGAAGAAAACTTATAAAAATATCAGAGAGCAAGGACAGAAACAAAATAATCCAACATGAAAAACCAACAAGGAAAACCAGGAGTAAACAAGATAACTGGAAGTAACAGGAGTGGACAAGAGAACCCGGCAAGGAGTGTCTGATAATGAAGTGCTTAAGTACTGGAAGATTGAATGCTGAACAAAAAACCTGGGGTGATTAGCTACCAGATTGCAGCTGTGAGGGGAGAGAATAGAATGCAGACTGAGGAAAGGGAGAAATAAAGTGGGACACTGGGTGAGGGACAGTACACAGGGACTATAAAATAAATCTAGCTCTAAAAGAATACGTAGACTAAAGCAACATAAACTAGAGTAACTAAGAATAACTAGAAGTAAGAAATATACATAACACACTAAAAAGTACTAAACTGATGTAACAGAGAAACAAAACTCATTTTAATCAAAGAAAAGACAATGGAAAACAGCACATATAAATCAAAACTCCAAAACACTTAAACAACCAGGGAACCAAACAGGGTCAAGCTAGGTTTGAAGAGATGTTGTAGACTCTGACAGAGCTTTTCTGTCAGATAATTTAATGATAAAAAGTTTATCATTGATAATTTAATGATTTAGTTAATTGTTTGATGGTAAATGTTATCATTTAATAATGTTAATAATAACTTTATGATACATTTAATTAATTAATGGGAGATTTACATATATATCTATATATATGTCTATTATGTATGTATGTATGTATGTATGTATGTATGTATATTTATTTATTTAACTGCGTCATTTCATTTTACCCTGATAAAAATGCGCATTTACTAAACATTTGATGTCCTTTTGGAGGAGGGGTTCTTGTTGGTGGGGAAACTCCATAAGTAAAAGTTGGGGAAATACTGAATTCCATACTCTTTTATGCTTGCTTCAAAAAACAAAAGGATTTGTATATTTGTACAAAATAAAGCAACTGAATGAACACCAACTGTGAATGGTGATTTTACAAATATGCTGATAATTTCCTCAGGACTCACCACTGGTTGCAGCTGCCCATTGAGGCTCACTGAGCGAAGAGGCGAGTTGGTAGATAGGCGTTTGTCCCACTCACTCGGTCGAGGTTCTGGTACTGACTCCATAAAACTTCTCTTGAGCTCACTGATACTAGTGTGGTGACGCATGATCTCAGTTTGGGTCTTATCAAGGTCCTTCAAGAATGAAAAAGTTACATTAATATATTGACAAAGCAAAAGGTCAAAAAAGATTATCACAGATGTTGACCAAAACGAGCCAGAAAAAAAATACTGAAAAGACAGGAGCATGGTGAACTCACATTGCACAGTATGAGTGAAAGGACAGGTAAAATGGATTAAGTGCATAATGATTTTTCTGTAATCATAAAGGTGAGTGAAAACAATGTCAATGCCACATTGTAGAGTATTTTTACTCTACAACAGTGCAGTAGAGTAAAATTACTCTACTGATAGAGTAGTTTACTTTACTTAAAAGTAAGTTAAATTACTTTTTCTAAGTTATGTCCATAAACATATAATGCTTATTTCTCAAAAAAAAAAAAAAAACCTCAGAAAGCTTCACAGTACCAGGTACGCAAACATATTAAGACAAAATAATTTTGAAAAGAATCTGCCAACTATTCTGAGAGAAACATCAGTCAAGAAACACAACAGACAGTCCCTGTTTCAAATTTTCTGGTGTCATTAATTTTTTAATATTGTACTTACAAAATACGGTGTTCTTACAGAAATCTATTTGACTACTCACATTCCCTTTTTTATATCTATCTCTGGATGTTGTAAGGTTGTGTTGGATGACGCAACTCTGCAAACTTGCATGGACATTGGTGGCAGTTCCCCAATGGTGGTGGTCCCCTTATTCAAAAAAAAGGGGCTGGATGTCCACAGAGTGTGCTCCAACTGAGGTGTTACACTCTTAAGCCTCCCTGACAAAGTGTACTCAGAGATCTGGGAGAAGAGGGTCTGTTGGATAGTCGAATCTTGTATTCAGGAAGAGCAGTGTGGTTCTGGTTCTAGTTGTGGAACAATGGACCAGCTTTCCACCCTCAGCAGAGTCCTGGAGGGTGTGTGGGAGTTCACCCAAAAGGTCTACATGTGCTTTATGAACTTGGGACCGTGTCCCTCGGGGAGTCTTGTGGGGATTGCTCTTGTAGTATGAGCAACCCCCACATCTTACTGCAGACTGTCAGAGTCTGCAGTAAGATGGGATCATTCTGGTAAGAGTTGGATTCCACCAAGTCTGCCATGAAAGTGATTCTGTTAATTACTTTTATAGACAGCATTTCTAGGTGCAGCCAATGAAAAAAGGGGATACGGTTTGGTGTCCTTAGGATCACGTCTCTGCTTTTTGCAGATGATGTGTGCCTACTGGCTTAATCAGAGTAATTGTGATCAGTGCCTTCAAGTACGAGGCCATGGTGAAGAGAGAGCTGAGTCAAAAAGCGAAACTCTCAATTTACTGCTTGGTCTTCGTTCCTACCCTCATCTATGGTCATGAGCTTTAGAAAAGATCGAGGTCTTTGATACAAGAAAGGAGTTTTTTCTGTAGGGTGTCTGCGCCCTCCCTTAGTGATAGGGTGAGAAGCCCAGTTGTGCGGAATGGATTCAGAGTAGTCCTGAAGACCTCCCTGGTGAGGTGTTCTGGACACTTCCCACTGAGAGATGCCCTCTCTCAGACCATTGCTGGTCTCCTCCAGGGGAACCACAAGGTTCCCCTGGAGGAGCTGGTCCTAGTGGCTGGGGAGAGGGAAGTCTGGGCCTTCCTATTTAGTCTGCCACCCCTGCGACCCTACTCCAGATAACCGGAGAGAGGGAAGGGAGGGAGAAATGGATGGATGGAACCCACAAAGTTTAAAGCATCCATCCATGGATGGATGGCATTTAAAGCACTGTTTGCTCGAGCTTAATGCGCTAGTCATAAAATATTTACATGTTTGCTTCCTCTTACAGTACGTGTCAGTGACAAAAAATATCCACAAACAGGGCACTGCATATCATCATGAGCTGAAGCCAAGTGTCAAGTTTGCTGTTCATTCTGTAAGCTGATAGCATCAAGTTTTTTTTTCTTTACATGGATGTACATTTAGATTGTAAGGTGGAGGGGAAAGGGCAAATAAAATCTATGTAAATTAAATGTCATTCTCTTCATTGTAAAGAGTGTGAAAATCCCAAATAACACTAAAAACAGTTAAAAGGATAGCAGAAATGGCACAACGACATCAGCTTGAAAAAGTACAGATCAAATGAAAGAGAAGAAAAGCTATCTGAAAAAGTGACAAGCAACCACAGCATAGAACTGTAGATCATGGAACTGATCTTACATACATGACTAGGAAAGAGTCACCAATGTTAAAGTACACTCTGACTCTTTGTAAATGGTAAAGTACAAAAGTGAGTTAAACAAACAGAAGCAAAGTCTCAGTGTGGGTGGCTTGGAGGGTTATGGAATATTACAGGAAAAATAAAGTATTGTTGGATTAAAAGGGTGACAATAATTTTTTTAAATATAAATACAGATTATGAAAAAATAAAAAAGGAAACTAAATAAAAAAATAATACAATTGGAAATTAACTGGAACATTAAATAACAGTGAAAATGTTCCCATAATACAGGTGAAAATCATATAATATATTTGTCTCCCACAGTACAATCAAATAAGGTTGGAAAGTTCTTATTTTGTGGATGCAATATTTGGCACAGTGATTACCAATGTCACCTTTGTCAGGATCTGTCCTCCGTATCCACCAGTCTGAACTGTAACATACAATGGCATGCTGAAGCATTTTCTGCTTTGCTGTATTCAAAATGTCTGCAATGCTGAAGCATTTTCTGCTTTGCTGTATTCAAAATGTCTGGCAGAAAAGGGCTGATGACCATGTTAGTAAAGTAAACCATGTAAAATAGTGTATTTGACACTGAATTTTAGATGTTTATGCTAACTGTTTTGCTTCAAAACTTAGTTGTGTTGGTTGGTCTTGGTAAAGTCAGATTAGAGAAAGCTGATCTGTAAAGAACCTTTTGGAAATTAATGAGAAAAAGTGGTTGAGATTTTGACTTACTTTATTGTCATCTCACAAAGTCATGATAGTGAATTTGACAATAAGATGTCGTTGCTTGGCTATCGGAGTACAAAGAAAATACTCAAAAATTATGTGTGACTATATAAGACACATACACACACAATATACATATTAAAAAATCCTAACATAATTGCTACTAATATTACTAATATTAATTTTGTACCTATTGTAAGAAAAATTTATTAATCTTTCCATCTGAAAATAGAGATATAATTTTGTATCATCTTCTTCAGGCATGCTCTCACAGCTCATTAAAAGTCATTGTCTGACAGGCAGCATAAAATGAGTTCATCATATACAACCCCTTTTCAAAAACACAGATTATTCTTGAACTTGTTAAAACAAAATAGAAAGTTTCATATTACAGTTAGGCAAACAACTGTGCCCTTGTGGCATTGATGATTAAATGATATGCTGGTTTCTTATTCGTTGTTTTATGATGGTTTGAATGCCTAACAGTATTACACTTTGCACTTCACTTTGCACTTTGTCACATCATCTGCACCTTGCCATAATGCTGCTTCCTCTTTAGTGTGGTTGGAGTGCCTTTTAGTTAATTTTAGTTGTATATATTGTTATTACTGTGAAGTTTATTTATGTATTGTATATATTTGACTTTTTGCACGGGAGTCGCAATGGAAATTTCGTTGAATTCTGTTCAATGACAATAAAGGCAATCTATCTATCTATCTATCTATCTATCTATCTATCTATCTATCTATCTATCTATCTATCTATCTATCTATCTATCTATCTATCTATCTATCTATCATCATCTATCTATCTATCTATCTATCTCTCTCTCTCTCTCTCTCTCTCTCTCTCTCTCTCTCTCTCTCTCTCTCTCTCTCTCTCTCTATCTCTATCTATCTATCTATCTATCTATCTATCTATCTATCTATCTATCTATCTATCTATCTATCTATCTATCTATCTATCTATCTATCTATCTATGCACACAAAAATATAGTTTTCATAATCTTCAACATTGTCCTTCAGTCTCAAAGAAGTTTTCATATGTGAACCGTGGAGGATGTACTAACAGATGTTTAAGTCTATGGATGATCTGCTACCATCGGTGATACCCACATGTATTTCATGCCTCGTATGATTTTGTATGGCAGGTTTATTTCAGCATTAGAGACTAGCTAATCTCATGTGAAAGCCGAATCCCACGACCTGACAAATTTTGAAAAATTCCAGTTAAGTAGGCAAGTAGGCGAAGCCAAATGTGGGGATGGTGTTAACTAGACTTGTGATCAGGATAAAACAAGTGCTTTCACTAACTTATCCATTTTGTAGCTTTATTTAATGATGTTTCAGACTTCTCTAGAGATTTTTTAAAACAAAAACCAATGAGTGGAAAATCTAGAAATTTTTTTCTATTTTGCTGGAGACCTTCTATGGCAACAACACTCTGCAGCTTTGCATCAGCTCCACTCTGTAATGAGTGAGCAACGATTGCTCTTGTGAGCCCCCACCCCACTTTCACAGCCCTGCAGTCGATCTAACACACTCATCCATCCATCCTGCATCCATGTGTGGCTAGAGAAAGGGGTAACAATATCAGCATCCTACTCCATATCAACAGTGCAAGTAAAACACACATTTCTAAAGCTGAGTCACGCCATTGATCAATGCTTTCTGCAGCCACACTCACTATTCTAAGTCCGGACTCACTATTGGGTGGGTCTGTATGTCTGAATGGAATCCTGAGTGTCATAAAATGATACAATTTTAAACAGTGAGAAGAATTCAGCTGCTTAGGCAGCGCTCAACCTAAGGATGCCAGAACTGTCACTGGTTTAAGTAAATACTGCAGAGCCATACAGATTTTCAAGAAAATGTCAAAATTCACATAGTAAGACACAGACCCTTTCCAAAAAAAATAGAATGTCATGGGAAAGTTGTTGAATTTCCATAGTTCCATTGAAAAAGTTAAACTGTCAGATTGTAGATGTAGGGCCCAGAGGTTAAGCAATTCCAAGTATTTGTTTGTTTATTGTTACATAATTAGGGCTTCCAGCTCACAAAACCCACAGAAACAGGAATTCAAAAAATGTTAATACTCTGAAGAAATCAGCCCAAATTTTGCAGGGCACGAATGTTGTAATTTGAGTGTGACACACTAATAGTCTACGAAACTCAAAGCATCACCAGGCGTCATTACATTGCTTCAGTTTGGTTCAATGTGTGGAAGACTTGATATTCTCTATAGAATGGGTAAGCCACAAACGTGCATAGCTAAGGAGGCTGGCTGAATGCTGTGTTCAGGCCATCAATTGAAAGTCTAGTGGAAGGGCAAAATGTGGCAGGAGAAGAAGCATCAGTCAAAGAGATGATCGAGGACTCCAACAGATTATCAAACCAAAAAGATTCAAGAATCTTGCAGAGATCCAGAAAGAGTGGAAGGAGACGGGAGTCACAACTTCAAAAGCCACCACAATCAGACGCATCCAGGAGATGAGCTGTAACTGTCAGCTTCCTCGGGTCAAGCCACTTCCGAACCTGAACATAGGAAGCGACTCAACTGACCAAAGAGAAGAAAGTCCTGACCACTGGCCAGTGGCCCGAGGTCCTCTTTTCTGATGAAAGTAAAGTGTGCCTTTCATTCGGTAATAAAAGGTCCAAGTACCTGGAGGAGTGAGGAACTGAACCCAAACTGCTTGAGGTCCAGCGTAAAATATCCACAGTCAGTCATGATAATAACGAGTTGGTAAACTCTGCTTTCTTAAATCCAAGGTTACTGCAACAGTCTACAGAATGTTTTAGAGGACTTCATGATTCCTTCTGCTGAAGATCTCAATAGAGATGCAGATTTCATCTTCCAGCAGGACCTGGCCTCTACACATGCCAAAACCTGGTTTGGTCACAGCTTGACTCCCCAGTCAACTCGCTGGACCTAAGCTCCATTGAGAATCTAAGGCAAATTGTCAAGAGGAAAATGAAGGGCACAAGATCCAAAAACACCAAAAAGCTGACAGCAAGAAATTATGAGCTTCCATAACTGCCAGGCAATGCCACAGCCTGATTACGTCAATGTCACATTGCATCAAGGCATTGATTAAGGCAAAGGGATTTCCACCAAGTATTGAAGACTGACATAATTTTTAAACAATAAGTTGAAAAATAATATTTTAATAGTATAATCTGCAAAAACTGTTTAAGGTGATTTCCTCAGAGTATTACAATTTTTTTGAATTCCTGTTTTTGTGGGTTTTATTGGCTGGAAGCCCAAATTATGAACAATTAACAAACACATATTTGACATCACTTAAACTGTGGGCCCTGAATCTATAACTTATGAAAGTTTAACATTTTGAATAGAACAACTTTTCCATGAGGCCCTTTCCAAAGTTTTTGGAAAGGGCCTGTCAAGACAGAATCTTAAGTAACCTATTTTGACAGTTTATCAGCAAAAAAAAGTTCATTTGGAAATTAGTTACACACTTTAAGGACAAACTGGTCTGCAGAGTTTGTTGTTTAACAAAAAGAAAATGTTTCCCAGCCATATATTTCAGAAAGTGACAAGCTTAAATGACAAACAGAAACAAATGATGAGAAGCTACTTGCATGACAATCAGATAGGAAAATGGTGCATGCAAACCATTTCGGGTTGAGCTACAGAGAGAGAGAGAAAAAAAGAAAGAAACAAACAAACAGATCAAGCAAATGAAAATCAACATTACATTTATGCACACATAACTGTTACAGAAACTACCAAAACTGGTATCACTGAAAATACAAACCTCCAACATTAAATTGCTATGTCTGATATAAATAGTTTCTCCCTCAAGTCTCTTGGGTCTCTTCTGTGAAAAATGAGGGAAAGGAATAAAACTGATTGTAAGCAAGTTAAAAATGAATGTTTATGTTTAAATCTTCAAATAACAGCAATGGTATCGAGATAAAGCTTTGGTGCGCAGAAACAGAATGCAGCATGCAATTCCCAGTTTGTCAGCTCAGCTAATAAAAGATGACGAACCTCTACAAACTGGGTGGGTATGTGTTACAGCCATGCACATACATGAAAATACAAGAATTTTAAGTCATATGCTAAGCATTCATAAGATGCTACTGCATAAGGATGTTGCATGTGTCTATTTTCTGGATTTGCAAAATTTCAACAAGCTTATATTATATTGTGCCAAGTCCTGAAAACAGGTATTTTCTCTGTTTTCAGGAAGACAGTTCAGGGGTTAATTTACAAATAATGTTGTTTGTGGATGATGAAAAAATACAGAATTATACAAGAAATTTCAAAAATGTTGTCATTAATGAATTCTAGGTTTTCATTCACAGTACTATACAAATTAAATGGCTGTTTTTTTCTTGGGGTTGGAAAAAAAACCCATTACTGAAATTACAAAAATAGGGAAAATTGCAAGACTTAATTTTAATAATAAATATTTTAAAACCTCAATTCACCATTTAATATTTAAATTATCTAAATTTATGTTAACATTGCAGGGTGTCACATAGAACAGTGGTTACATGTACTTCACTAGAATGCTATGCTCGACTGTCGTAATGTAATGGTAAATTATACTACTACTAATATCATCATCATAATTGTTATCAATGGAAGTAGTAGTATTAGGTCGCTCTATTTCTAATTAAAGTAACCAAAAAATGTATTTGTCTTAATGAAATACACAGGCTTTCACAAAATAGTCATCCACAAATCACGATAGTCAAGAAAATATTGCATCATTTGACTCTGCAATGGAAATGAAAAAATGTCATTAAATTACTGATGATAATGCAAGTTGGCAAAAAATGTTGCTAACCTTCCTTACTCGAACCATTTCCATCTTTTTATCCTGAACAGAGAGCTGTTGTTCCCCATCAGAAAAAGAAAATTCTTTTGTAACTCAAACATAAAACAGCAAAAACTGATATGCGCTTGTTACAATAATACAGATTCTTGTAACAATGCTACTTTACATAACTTGATAGGTCCTAAAATTAAGGAAAATTATTCTGGGTGCACCAAATGCAGTTTTCACCAGTTTTAACAAACACTGACCTTTCAATTAAACTTGGTTCTGAAATGTTGCTAAATACATCAAGAAAGTCGCTGAGCAGGCAACAGTGGGGTGAGTATTATCAACTGTTAACATGCAGACATGACCTGGTGGGCAGGTGTGTCAGTCAGATCTCTCTCATGGCAGAGCAAAAGAGGACGGTCGTTGAGCTTTAGACCCTTCCCCAGGTAAGTAAAATTGGTTGATAAGAATTTTGATCACCAATCTCCCCAAATTAAAGAGACCTTTTCTAACATATCGATATGAGTACCATAAGAAAAATTGGGCCAGTATTACCAAGTGATAATTTTTTCAGCTTTTTCCTATTTGTGTAAGTGTTTCAGGAGGGGAGGGGATTGACTATCTTGTATATGTTTGAGTATGTGACAATGCTACAGTGTTTAACTGAAATAGAGAAGCAACTTCAGTGCTGGTGGTTATTGTCCAGAAATTAACGGCAATATTAATTTCCGATATTGATATTAACCCAAATTTTTATGTCAGTTAATCATTATATTTGTGTCCATATTCGTTTGGTGTACAAATATTGACAATATTGCCAGCGTTTTAAAATATTACTATGCAATAAAATAAATAATTTGTAGCATTTTATTGGAATATGCAAAAAATACTGCCCTTTATTTTCTTAAACTAAATACTCTTTCTTAACCACAAGAGAATATTTTTTTATTCTTGTTTTTTCTGAAGTCATTTAAAAGCTTCAAGGAAGTGATGTAGGTATAAAGGAGTCTGCATTTATATTCTCATGCTGAGTGATCATGCATCAGGCAAACAAACCTGGCTCTTTTTTTCTTTCTCCCTATTGGTCATGGATGGGGAGTTCCTTCGCTCTCTCTTGGCAACAGTCTAGTACCACAAAGCTCATAATATTAGTTAGTTTCAGGGAAACTAGCCATATCTTTTATTTCATTATTTATATTCATACATTCAAAACTGATACCCGATAATATAGAGCACACTTGCAGTTTATTATGCAAAGTTACTGTAAATATAGAACATTATTATGCAATAAAAATAAATAAATTGTAGGATTTAATTTCCAAATATTTAATTGGAATATGCAAAAAATATCCACTTCGTATGAACTTTTATAATTGTCTTTGATAATTATTTTGCACAGTAAGCTTACGCAGTTCAGTAAAAACATATTGGGTTGGGATTGCACTGAATCGCACAACACAAAGTCCATGAACTAATTCATGCCTTACCTTTATTTCTGAAGCAGACTGTGGCTTTGGGCTCTTGGTGTGCTCTGGCTTACATTCTGTCTTTAGCTCCCTTTTCCAATCCGTGTGGCGTTGGATTTTGGGTGTCGAGCCATCAGGATGGCCATGACGAGGCAGTGTGGGTAGCAGTGGTGATGGCTTTGCCTCACCTGGAGATACTGGTGACATAACAGGGGCACTGACCGGACGACTAGATTTGTTGTCTGGTGTAGTGGCCATTGCTGGGATGGGGAAAAAGGAGATGCAGTGACCTTACTTTCGACTTCCAATGAAATAACAAACACATTATTCCTTGTAACATCATAAACAAACAAAAAAAAGTTGTACATTTCAATATAGTTTATTTTATTTAGTACCAAATTAAAACAAATGACACCTCCAGGTAAACAGTTTATATCCACTGAAATAGAATCCTATTTATTACAATACAATCATATGGTTTCATTTTGATTAATTAAAATACTGTCTAATTTTTCTCAAAACATAATGCATTATGACTGATATATTGTTTGTATAATTATCATAAAATTAAAGTTGGCTAAAAAGCTGAGATGACCATAAACATTTGTCTGCTTCGACTATGGGCTTGGTGGATAGAAAGAAGAGAGTGAGAAGTTTTTTTATGAAAAGAAAAACATAGTGCAGAGTAATACTGGCAGTAATAAAGTCTATGCGGGACAATAAAGGCTGTTTCTATTCTATTCTGTCAAGGCATGTACGAGCATGTGAAGTTGTAAAAGGACCCCTGGTAGGTAACACTCTAACTAGATTGCCAGTGTTTTAAACATGTGCAACACTTTACCTCCATCCAGACTGCGTGAGTTTCTCTTGCTGGAAGAGCGCTGGAACATGGGAGCTGGTCTGTCAATCAGAGAGCTGGCCTGTCTGGTCTGAGCCTGAGTCCGTCCACTGTAACGGAATTTGGAGCCTAGTGCCAGGAACTTTCTCGGGGTGGTGACCATCTCAGTGGAAGTTAACCTGTCCACAAAGAAAGAATATTATTTAACAGTAGAAATTTAAACACAGGAAACTGTTAAAGCAAAGCTTTGGAAAAAAGTAAAAAAAATACCATACACTACCTAAAGAAGGTATGATGTTCAACACATACTTTCCACAGCTTCTTGGCAGCCTTGTAATTGGGAAGTTTGAAACCAATTGCACTCTCATACTGTTCTGTCTGTTGAATATAAAACAGAATTTAAAAAGTTAATTTCTGATTTTTTTGCCTAGATTTCTAGGGATAGGAATAAAGAACTGGTTTTCAGTGGTTCAATTCTTCTTGATAAGTCACTGACAGTGGAATTGCTATCCAAATTTTTTATCAATTCCCATCCCTACTATTTTAAGTATGACACTCATACAAATAACTATTTGCATAATTAATTTAGGTTGATCAAACAAGGCCATTTTTGATTAAAGTACTTTCTTATTTTGTTACATGAAAATGATAAATCCAAGTAAAGTGAACTTAATTTTGTCAGGTAGATAAAGCAAAACTAAACTTTGTATAGATTACTGAACTTTTTGATTTAGTAAATTGCAAGCACACTCTAAAATCTAAATAGTTCACTTCGCTTAAAAAATTGTGCAAACTCATTGCCTCAAAAAACAATCTTACATTTTTAAAACATAATACTTGATTGAAACAGTTCTGGGCTCCTGCCTGCTTTTTATGTGTTTCTCTGCTCAAACTTTGACAGAAAACATAGAAAGCAGTAATAGTTTGTTCTCTTTATTTTCCAAGACGACACCATAAAAATAAGCATACCGCTCATGGTGCAGTTTAATGTATGTAATTATAAATGCATAAAACTACCCAATAAGCACTTTACTGCTCTGAAAGTAGACTTTATAATTGAAGCTTTGGAGTCTATGTTTTCGCCTTGAATATCTTAAAACAAAATTTTGTGAAAAAATTAAAATCAGTTGGTGCAATCCATTGTGCCATCAGCAGCACAATGCCACCTACTGGCCAATCCTACTGCGATTGGCCGGAAGGGATTAATGGCCAATTCCCACTGCCACCTATACCCAGTGTGCTAAAAAAAAAAAATAAATAAAATCAATTATTGCAACATATGAAAACACATGAAGATATGTTGTGTGACTTAAGTATTGGAAACTTGATAAATTTTGTTTAGCAGTACATAAACTAAATAAAAACATCTTGACATTATAAGTTACATACAAATAAGGAATTTGATCTATACTTTTCTATGGTAAATAACATTCTTAAGCTCGAGTGTTATTTTCATCAAATGATTTTTCTCTGCCGACATCACCAACAACAGCATTACTTTGTTAACCTACACTAAAAAACACATACATAAAACACATTTTATTTTTCAACACAGAAATCAGTTGTACAAATGCCCTGAAAGTTAAGCACTAACTTACTTGAACTTAATTTAATCTTAATTGTTTAAGCAGATAGAGCAGAATATTTTAATCAGTGTACTTGAAAAACTGCTCTTCAAAACACTGCTGGTCCACTGATGCTTGGAATTTCTGATAGCTCATGGTTAGTATTTGGTGTTTTGAAACACTGAATAAAACACAGTAAAGATAAAAAGATTGTTTTTTGTTGTGTGGGTGAACTTAAAAAGACAGACTTTGTACTTCAGCAATTTATTTTCTGAAAAAAGTTACTATGTCTTGTATCTTGACTACATATTTTTGACCTAAGTATGTGCAGTGTTAAACATACTTATGTAAAGATGCTAACTTGATTTTTTTAATGTTTATTTCATAGTCAGCAAAATTCACTTCACCACAGATGCATTTTGCAAATTGAAAACTGCAATCTTAAGATGTGAAAAAGTGATTTTTTTTATTTTTTATTTTACAAAGCAGGTGCATCTCAGCGTTCATCTTAGTCACTTTCTACTGCTTGCTGATGTCGATCATTGGGGAAAAATGCATCTGTGGTGAAGTAAATTTTGCTGAATCTGTGAAATCAACATCAAAAGAATGTCTTATGTCTGGTTATGAATAACAAAGGTTATCTACCTCAGAAGGTCGTATTTTGATAAAGAAGCTGCTGTGCTTGTAGGACACCTTAAGGACTTTGGGCCATGGGAAACGGTTGATTCTCAGTTTGTCTTTGTAAACCATCAGGCCACTTGAGCAAACTCCCAGCATGATGTCAACACCATCCAGGTCCTGTCAGAGACAGTAAAATGAGTCTTGCATTCTAAACGTCCTTCCAGATATTCAACATTGACAGTCAAAACTGGGTAGTGACTATACTGCAAATACAATCATGGTATTTAATTAAAAGTAGTAAGTTGACTTTTCATAAAATTGCTATCAACACTCACTTTTAGTAAGCTACTTAGAATGTGTGGTTGAAAAATCTCTCAAACCCACTCTACTTGAGCTTGATCATAAACTATGGTATTAGCGCTATGCTAACTCTAGTTGCCAACAATAAAACAATGTTCTTGTCAAAGACCAGACTGTGTCGACCTATGATAAGCAATACCACCAAAGTCAACTAACTTAATATGTTTTTGTTTTTTTAACATCTTTAGATGCATCATAAATTGCATTTTTTTGACATATAAATGTCCCTGTATTCCTTTAAATTTGACGCACAAGTGACACCTGCAAACAACAATGATGATCAAGAGTGAGAGTGAATTTATCTTCACTGTACATTTTACTAGCAGAATATTTTTCCATATGTTATGTATTTCAAATATATGATGTAATTAGTAATTCTGTCAAGTGGGAGAGAGGGTTGCTGCTGTGGCGCCAGGGTATCGCACAACCCTTGTATGGAGTTCTTTGTCATTGAGTAGAGTGCCGACTTGATGAATTTTGCTGCATGTATTCCCCTTCTCCTAGTACTGACTTTCCTGTCTGACTCTCAAAGGACACTAGAATTAATTTTAAAAAAGAAATGAGAGACGAGGGACAAAGGACTCATTCAAGAATTTAAGTTTGCTTAATTTAAGTGGGAAGTGGAATGTTGTTGGTTTTTAGTCATTCTAATCAGAGCCTCTCCTCGGGCTGCCACCTTATCGTGGTGGAGGGGTTTGAGTGCCAAAATGATCCTAAAAGCTATACTGTCTGGGTCTTCATACCCCTGGTAGGGTCACCCAAGGCAGACAGGTTTTAGGGGAGGGACCAGACAAAGCACAGCCAGAAGACAACTATGAAGAAAGACAACTTTGTTTCTCGTGTGCCCTCGCCCAGACGCGGGTCACCGGGGCCCCACTCTGGAGCCAATCCTGGAGGTGGGGCACGTTGGCAAGCGCCTGGTGGCCGGGCTTTTATCTATGGAGCACGGCTGGGCTTAGCCCGAAGAAGAAACATGGGTCCCTCTTCCAATGGGCTCACCACCTATTGGAAGGGCCACAGGGGTCGGGTGCAGTGTGTGATGGGTGGTGGCCGAGGGGAGGGGGGGGGTCCTGGCGGTCCGATCCTCGGTTATAAAAACTGGCTCTTGGGACGTGGAATGTCACCTCTCTGGTGGGGAAGGAGTTGGACTTCTGTGCTTGTCAGGGATTGTCCATAACGAACACCATGTTCAAGCATAAGGGTGTCCATATGTACACTTGGCACCAGGACACCCTAAGCCGCACTTTGATGATCGATTTTCTCATCGTTTCGTCGGATCTACGGCCGTATGTCTTGAACACTCGGGTGAAGAGAGGTGCGGAGTTGTCCACTGACCACTACCTGGTGGTGAGTTGGCTCCTGTGGTGGGGGGGGGGATGCCGGTCAGACCTGGCAGGCCCAACCGTGTATTGAAAGTCTGCTGGGAACGTCTGGCAGAGTCCCCTGTGAGATGGAGCTTTAACTCCCATCTCCGGCAGAGCTTCGAACACGTCCCAGGAGAGGGGGGGGACAATGAGTCTGAGTGGACCATGTTCCGTGCCTTCATTGTCGAGGCGGCTTATCGGAGCTGTGGTCGCAAGGTTGTCAGTGTCTGTCGTGGTGGCAACCCTTGAACCCGTTGGTGGACACCTTCGGTGAGGGATGCTGTCAGGCCGAAGAAGGAGTCCTATCAGACTCACAGGCGGGCGCTGTACCGGTCTGTCGTGGTGAAGAGAGAGCTGAGTCAAAAAGCGAGGCTCTCGATTTACCGGTCGATCTACATACCTCATCTATGGTCATGAGCTTTGGTTAATGACCCAAAGAACGAGATCGCGGATACAAGCGGCCGAAATGGGTTTTCTCCATAGGGTGGCTGGGCTCTCCCTTAGAGATAGGGTGAGAAGCTCGGTCATCCGGGAGGGACTCAGAGTAGAGCCGCTGCTCCTCCACATCGAGAGGTGGCTCGGGCATCTGGTTAGGATGCCTCATGGACGCCTCCCTGGTGAGGTGTTTCGGGTACGTCCCACCCGGAGGAGGCCCCGGGGAAGACCCAGGACACGCTGGAGGGACTATGTCTCTCGGCTGGATTCCCCCGGGGGAGCTGGAGGAAGTGGCTAGTCCCCAAAAAGAGGGACTTCTGGGCCTCCCTTCTTAAGCTGCTACCCCTGCGACCCGACACCGGATAAGCGGCAGAAGATGGATGGTTAAATTCGTATCAAGCAGTTCACACAAATTAAAGAAATTAGGTTTTAAAAAAATGCATAAGTTACCTGAACTTAGTTTTTTTGCTGGTTGTGCTACTTGATTTAGTACTGCTTATTTAAACTAAATTGTTTTTCTTACTCAGTGATCTTAAGCTTACTGTATTTTTTTTTTATTCAAACTGTTTGCATATTTTTTTACAGAGTAGTTACATTTACTCAGTTGCATTTATTTGACTAACATTTTATTGAAAAATTACTTTTAGGAAGATTTTTTATTACATTGTACATTTTACTTTTGCTTGAGTATTTTTATTTATAAAGTATTGCTAGTCTTACTTGAGTACTATTTCTGGATTGTCTACCCACCTAATGAAAAATAAACATGTTTTATTCAAACATTCACTAGAAAAAGGCACACACCTAGAGTTTTTGCAAACATTTCCTTAGTTTTATATTGAAAGAAATTGATTCGGAAAAATTTTCTTCTGTCTGATTTTGTAATTTTTGTTACGTACATGAATTACTGTTATTTTGCTCCTTGAAACACAAAAAGTTTCACTAAGTTTTATATTTTGCTCTGTGAGATGATGTAATTTTTAAATATTAAATGATTGATAATTTGATCAGTTACTCAATAACTGAGTTGCCTGTTTAAAATACTTGGCTTCTTTGTACTTTTACTTGAGTAAAAATAAGTTGAAATAGTGCTGGGACGTGCTGTGGTGGCGCAGGGATTAGCACCCCCACGTTTGGAGACCTCAGTCCTCGACGTGGATGTTGTGGGTTCGACTCCCGGTCCCGGCAGCCACATGTTTTCCCCCCTCTCCTCGCCCTCTTTCCTGTCTGCCTACTGTCGAAAATACGAGCTACTGGCGCTGCTACAACTCTTTGGAGAAATAAAAAAATAAAAATAGAGCTGCTTTCACTTGAGTACTCATTTTGGATACTCCATCTACCTCTGTAGAAAACGAAACAAAAGTGTCAAAACATAAGTTCTTAGAACTTACCATCATTAGAATTATATTTTTTCTTAACTGTTAAAGTTTAAATGTTCCCATTTGCTGCATAATATCTAAAAAAAATCTTGCAGCAAATTCTTTGTCCATCTTGTAGATTTGTGACTTGGATTAAAATATTGTAATACCTTAGATAATCCATAAGGAGGCAGTACGGTAAAAATAATACAATCTTCTAAACAACCCTGCTTTGCAACAGATTGATCTGATTGTTGATTAAAAAAACATGTCAAGTCAAATGTATTCCTATTGTTAGAGAGAAAAAAATATGTACGCAGCACCAACCACTTTGCATGTCATGGAGATTTATGCTAATGCAGTAAATCTAGGTCAGAGCCTACAATAATCTTCAACCTGGAGAGATTAATGTTGATCTGACTGACCTGTGATTACCAATGATATACAGTTATTGATTAAACATGTCATTGCAGCAGTTTATGTCATGATATGAAGCAAAATGGATTTAGTTATTTCAACTAATAGCTACATAAAACAGCATTTTTTTCTTTTGTCCAAAGCCTTTTTCTTTACACTAAAAATATGTTTGCACAGATTTAATATCAATAAAACCCAAAGCGGTGAGCCTGTAAATAAATAATGAGGAATATTATAATAATTTTTCATAGCCAAAATTTTGATGCCCTCTGTGTGACTTAGTGCAACATTTTTGGTTCCCAGAATTCTAATTTACGACACAAAAAAGAAAAGATCAATATATATCATGGAACATATTTTAGAACATCTTATTTCTTGGTATTAATCATTAAAAGTGTTTTAGCAAATAGCTTCATTGTTTAAAACAGAATTTATATGGATTCTATAAACTTATATAATTGTGGGGACGAGCGTGCAACCTCAGAAAAATGATGAGAAAAAGAATGAATTTGCATGAAGTTAAGAAAATGATGGGCCACCTTGACCATCCTCCTTATGAGACTGTCTCAGAAAAGCTGACTGTCTTCAGTCAGAAACTCCTTCAAATTTGATGTAATATAGACAGAAGTGCTTTCCTGCCCAAAGCCATCACTAACTCTCTGAAAAGTTTTGAATTAATATCACAAACAAGAGTATTTCCTTTCCTTTTAGGATTGATAAAGTATTTTTCAATGTGTATTGAATTTGAATTAGGCTAGTTTTGATACTTCTACCATGCAGTACCATGCACTACCATTTTGTTGAGCATGTTTTTTTTTAATCATTTTTTAGCGTTGATTAATACATAATTATGTTCAGTAAGTACTTTGACATCATTTTATGGCAAAAATTATAATGCAAATACCTTTAAAAATACTAGCTAAAACAGCCTCTAGGTGCAGAGTAATTTTTTTAGTTTTTGATTGCCTGATTGAATGCCTTAAGAGCCATGAAGACTATTTTCATTCCATTTTTTTCTCTGAAGAGTTTTTAGCGGCGCTAGTGGCTTGCATTTTTTGATAGTAGATTGACAGGAAAGAGGGCAAGGAGGGGGGAAAGGTTGCTGGGCCCGGGAGTCGAACCCGCAACATCCGCGTTAAGGACTGAGCCCTCCAAACGAGGGGTGTGCTAACCAGAGCCATGTAGACTTGAAAAAGAGTGACATCTTGAGTCCTGAAGTGGCTGCCAAATGGTCAAGCAAGCATTTAAGTGGCATCTGAATTTGCCGTGAACTGGCGTGGACCAGCGTCTCCAAATCCAAGGTCATGGTCTTGAGCCAGTATTACGTCGATTAGCGTTACTGGTGTCTGATGGGTGAATTATGGCCATCAGATATTGTTATAGGGTGTCTGGGTTCTCCCTTAAAGAGAGAAGCTCAGTTATACTGTAGGGACAAAAGAGTAGGGCCACTGCTCCTCCATTGAGGAGCCAATTGAGGTAAGTTGGGAATCTAGTTAGGATGCCACCCTGGTGAGGTGTTCTGGCCACATCCCATCAGGAGGAGACCCAGAGGAAGACCCAGGACACACTGAAGAGACTATTGCCTGGTATGGGAACGCCAAAGTGGCTCGGGGGAGGGAAGCCTGCATGTCCCTACTTAGGGTGCTACCCCCGCTACCCGGATGGATGGATGGATGGATGGATGGATGGATGGATGGATGGATGGATGGATGGATGGATGGATGGATGGATGGATGGATGGATGGATGGATGGATGGATGGATGGATGGATGGATGGATGGATGGATGGATGGATGGAGACATTGGGTGTTGAATAAAGATGCTCTGATGAACTCTTTTGGTGTCCTCAAGGTGGAAAATGGCACTGCGAAGGCATTATATTGAGCCATGTGAGAGATGAAGTATACAAATGTTGTGCAGTCATTGCATGAAGAGCGGGAGCGTTGGTGAGATCAGAGTGTTGGAATACCATTTTTGGGAGAAAAATTTTAAACAAACTTGTAACAAGAACTTCTGTGGGTGCAAAGGTGACATCCTAGAAGTCCATGCTGTTTTAAAGTTGTGGTGAGGTCTGCTGGTAAAGTTGTGTGATGGTTGTAAAGAATCGCGGCCTTGGTGTTGGATGGAAAACACAACAGAAAGACTAATAGGTAAACTGAAGATAGGAAATGAATCATCGGTTATAGGTTGGGCGGGTGTTCCAAGGTGTACCAGGGAGAGCAGAACCTGCCAGTAAGCTAGCAATGCTCAGATGTGGCAGGAAAACCACACCTTATTAGCCAATAACCAGATTGAGGTAAAATCCAAAGGTAACGTAGCTTGAGAGAACACCAAAAACAGTTAAGAAAGCAAGCTTTTGTCAGACTTAATAGATGGGGAAGCGGCAGCCAAGTGGGCCAGTGTCCTCTTGCAGCCATTATTGTATGACTTGTACATGAATGTTGGGGAAACTGAGACTGAAAAGCCCACTTCAGCTTACCTTAGCCTGATGAAGGTCCACCCCATACATAGAGAGTTTTTTGGCATTCTCCAAAAACATCAGGTCTGCCTGAGCTGGACACATTATTCTGCCAAAAGAAAGCAATATAAATGTAAGAATTTATGCATTGAAAAATAGTAAAACCAAAATATATCTTTCTACATTATTAATGAATGAGCCATTCATTAATAATCTGCTACATTGTGTTAGATACACTGGAGAAATCAAAGAACAATGTTGAAAAATACAATTAAAGTGCCTCAGATAATAAATGCAGTCAGACCATTAAAATGAAAGAAATAAATTAGATAATAATTTGAGAATGTAAAAACCATTTTCATCACTGGTTGACTTAGACTGTAATCTCACCTATATGTACGGTGCAGCTCCATCATTTTGTCCTCCAGCTCCTTTGTCTGACCTGAGGCCATTTTCATCTCCTTAGCATAATCATTGCCGTGCACCTCAGGGTCATACTCACCCAGCTCTGACTGCAAGGCATAAGAACCTAGCAGAGCCAGGGTAACAAATGAGCAAGGAAGGCGGCCCTGCAGAATATCCTTCCGCAGTTGCAGACACAGGTAGTACCTTTAATGTACAAAACAGAAATAATTCAACAGTTATAATTTTTCGGGGACAATTTAAATGGGCTTTTAATGGAAGTCTGAACTTAGCAAAGGAGCTGAACATGTCCTACAACAGGTTCAGTTCAAGCTCATCATCATCCTCTCCTGCCCCCACATAAACAGACATCCCACCTTCCTCTGACCCACAGCTTTCCTGTCCAGCTTTCCTGTCCACCTAAGTCATGGACTCTTCTGCTTCCAAAGGTTTGTCTTGTATAAGTAGAATTAGGACCAAATCAGGTGTTGTTGCTGCTCCCTTTGATTCCAATACCAAAGAAAACTCACCCATTAGTCATCACAGACTGGTTCACTCCATGACTTTCAGACTGGGGTTGGAGCCACTCCTTTCAGATCTTAGTCATATGCTTTGGGTCTTTGTCTTGCTGACAAATAAATCATCGTCCCAGTCCAGAACTATGAGGTTGTTATACAGTATGTCTTTTTACATTGCTGCTTTCATTTTTCCTCTCTCAATAAGAACAGCAATAAAAACATGTAAAGGCAACAGTCCCTATCAGAATTTCTATGACTGGTTCCAAGAAGGTGAAGCAGATTTCCAAGTTCAGTTTGGAGTATAGGAAAATAGACTGAAGAAAGTTTCTGTAAAAGAAAATTCATCTATTCCTACGAATTTGAGATTAAGAGCTCAAAAGCAATGACTCTCAATCAGTTTTTGCAAAACAAGTACTTCTAGAAGTAGTTTTACTGTACTTTTTACTTCTACGTGAGCAATGCTATTTTAAAGAGTATATATTGTGGGGGGTTTTTACATGTAAATCATTTGCTTATGGCGTATATAAAGTGAAACTGCAATGCTTTGATCTGAATCCCTGGTGATTGTAACGCAACAGACTCTTTGTTTAGCCCTGTTCTGAGGTGCGTTTTAAAGCAACTTGTTTTGCTGTGTTTTTTTTTTTTAAAGTGAATGAGATATTTCATGTCCTGCCCCCCGAGGCCTAACACAATTATAAATTTTGCTGGGCGATTAATTGTCCCAGAAATTATTGTGATAAATAATAATATTGTCATTTTGAGACCATTGTTAACTAATAGCATAAAAATTGTCTAACAAATGCAAATACACTTTCTCAGGGATCAATAAACTAATTTCAAAAGAACATTTAGCACTGGAACCTTTTTTTTTCTGTCTCCTAAGAGTTTTTGTGACGTGAGTGGCTCGTATTTTTTTACAGTTGGCAGACAGGAAAGAGGGCGAGGAGAGGGGGGAAGACATGCGACAAAGGTCACTAGGACCGGGAGTCGAACCCACAACGTCCGGGTCGAGGACTGAGGCCTCCAAACGTGGGGCGTGCTAACCCCTGTGCCACCACGGCACGCCCATGCGCTGGAACTTTTAACTATAAAAATTGGGAAGATTATGGGGAGGTTACATTAGGCACTGTTCAGATCCAGATCCTCCAGTTGATGGGAGGGCACGAATGGGCTGCCCCCTCAAAGTGCCGCTCTGTGCGGTTGCCCATGTTGCCTCAGTGATTGTCAATAGAATGGTTCCCAAGCAAGCAAACGGCATCTGTGCATTTTAGGTGCAGATATGTTGGTTATTGATTAGTTACTAATGTTTCACAACATGGCGGCTCCACAGGTTCAATGGTTTACCACAGTCATTCAGTTTGAATCCAAAGCCTCCCAGACAGCAGCTGTTACTTTTGGCTTTTAGACCTGCGTTTCTCCAGCTCACTCCTTGTCACTGGAGTCTGTGGTAGGAGCCCAGGAGCACAGCAGGTAACCGAGGTAATGATAATATGGTGACGGGAGAGACTGCTGCTCCTTCTCCATTCATTTCTATCGAGTTTGTTTGGTGAGGGGACAGACAGACGAGCAAACAGCATGACGTATTTCGTTCATGTGAAATTTTGACATGCGGGCTAGAGATGGCTATACCAGAAAGTTGGAAATACTTTAATCTCAGAATGCTGAGATTAAAGTCAGGTCATAATTCTTTTTTTTTTTAGTGGTCCATATGAGTTAGTTAGCTTACTTGATATAAATTAGGTTTACTTACTCACTAAACAAAGCAAAGCAATCTTCAGCTTACTTTGCTTAAGTTATTTTGAAGCAACGAGTTTGCGTAATTTAAAATTTCTTTATCTTCTTGTGATCTGATTGTCCTTACAAGGGCACTATTATGCATCTTCCAGCCACATGCACTGTAAAATCTAAGTAGTTAAGGCCTCATAGAGGATCACTGAGTCGTAATGCTTTCATCAACAGAATTTTCACAGAAAATATTTAACATTACTTGAATATTTGGGTAAGACTAAACAAACAGAAAATAAATACAAGCTCATAATCAAAGATTAATCTAACAGTTCTACTGTAAAACATAACTGGTATTTCCACAGCATGAACCTAAGTTGTCATAAATGTCTTCATAAAACACTGCTTGAGGTGCTTTTTTCAGACATTATTGTTAACTCAAAACTTTCATTATTTTAAACATAGATGTTAAAAAATACAGCAGTGAAACTGACCAGGGTTCAAATTTACATGAAACTCATTAATTGATGGGAGTGGAAGAAATTAATAAAGACTCCATGAATGAGACAGGATTTTCTTCTGTGTAGAGCTGGAGCCAGTAATGGATAGCTTAGGATTATGTCATCAACACCTGAAACTTATCAACCATTCCTTTTTATGTTCAAATGTATTTCACTTGTTAGCATAATTCAAATTCAACTTGCAGCTCCATTTCAAACTCTAGAGACTTCTTGTATCAAACTCTTACCTTTTAATTTGTTGCAGTTTGAAGTTGTGTTGTAAATTAAATGACAGAACTCATAAAATCACTAACATTTACCTCCTTTAGGGCAAAACTGTTAAGTTTAAATACAATAAAATTACAATTACTAAACAGCAGGATGCATGATGTACCTTGTTATGTCCTCTGACAACTGGGCTGGATCCGGTGGGTAAAATTTCACATTAAAAGTGAAATTATAATTGGTCCCTGAAGAACAAAATCCAGAGTGATTTAGAATAAGTATAAAATAATGCAATGAAGTCAAAACAGAATCCACAATTTATTTGTATATTTGACTCACCTTGCACCTGCCTACGAATCTCTTTGGTCAAATCCATCCAAGTCTGTCAGAACAAAAGAAGAAAGTATGATGTCTATTATATCTCCATGAATACAATAATCTTAGGTTCATTTTCTCAATAAATTTTTATAAGATGCTCTTTTGTATGAATGGAGAAGAAAGAGAATGTTAGATTTATGACAAGTGCTCTCACCTTCATAGTGGGGGTCTCCCAGATGGCCAGGCCATAATAGTCTTTTTCCAGAAGATTAAGGTGATCACATACTTTCATGAACAGCTCCTGACCTTTGGCATGTTTCTAACATATTTGGAGACATGGAAAGACAATGAAGTTCACACTTACATACATCTGATCTCATTAACAAATTAGATTTTGTGTACTGCAAAGCACAAAGAAGACTTCATTAAGAGAAAGAAATATTTTAAATTTAATCAGAAGAGTTTAAAATTAAACAAAAATTTTGCTCCAACATTTGATAGATATGCTTTACTTACCTGGGTGTATATCTGCACTTCCCATTACTTGTTATGAATCGCACTGGGACATTAAAGGTCATCCAATTTGTGATGGAAAGGAGAGGATGTGATCTCATTGAGGAGTTTTCAGCTATTTTGGTGCAAATATACTGTATGCCATTATAGTGTTTCAAGTAAAAAGTAACCAATCAGAGCCAGGAGGAGGGTTTTAATGCAGTCAAACAATGCTGCTCAATCTACTATTGGTGAAGAAAACAACTCTGGAAAAACATTTATCCACCGTCATCGGTGGCCATGCTAACTAGCCATCGTTCGTGAACCAAAGTTGACTCGTTCGTGAGTCAACTTGTTCGTGAACAAGTGGGAGGTGGAGCAATGATTGACAGCACTAAGACACTCCTCTTTGCTCTGGTGGCTGAAGGGTGGCTGATTTGTTTTCACAGATTATTTTTCTTACTTTAGTCATGACATAATGATCAGCTTAACAAATATGTAAAAAATTAAATAAAATTTTATAGCAGTTACCGCAGCTTTGAATCTTGGTGTTCTTTAGTAGTAATTATCTAAGTCTATTCTTAAAAAACTAAAATTATTTTTAAAAACATTATTTTTCCTTTTATGTTTTTACGGTTTATTCACATGACATCATTGGAAATCAGTGCTGCTCACATTCCTATTGCTGTTTGATGTTCCCAGAATTGGTAAGTCACTGTAGTGAAGGGATGTTAGCTGTTGTACTATTGTGCCTTGAACTTTTTAGGTTTACTTATTTATGCAAGGTTTAGACACCATGTCTTTAGAAATGTCAGAGAACAGCATGGCAGCCTTTCTGCATTGTAGTATAACCCAACTAACACAGAGAAAACATTTTTCACATAGAAAAGTTAAAACCAGTAACTACAGCACCACATACGTTTCTATACAGGGACTGGGATACAGTCTGATTTTGGACCAACAAAGATGGTGTCATCAGTTTTCTGACTGATAAAATTTTTATATAACAAATTAAATCACTGAATGTCAAAAGCAACAACAACTAAAATCTTACACTTTCCTTAAAAGTGTAAGATTTTAAGCAAAGCTCTAAGGGGGAAAATTCTTACATCCAACTCGCACTCCAACAGAGCATCATCCAGCAGTGTGACTTTGATCTGCAGTGTCTTTGGTCGGCGTGGAGCTCTGGGTGTCTTGGCTTCCTCCTCTGTTGTCTTCTCCTCATCTTCCTTACCCCTTCTTCCAGAACCAAATTCCTTCTCTTTGTCCTCCTTGTCCGGAACCACTGCCTCTTCCTTTTGGTCACTATTCTCCTTCACTTTTCCAGTCATGTCCTCAGCTGCATCTTTCTTTTCAGCCTGAAGAGCCTGACAAATTCATTGCAATGATGGCACCACATTCTTTAAGAATTTGTTTGACAGTAGGCAGCTTGAGCTGAGTGAAACTAAACTAATGAAGGTAATGGGTGAACAGATAGATGCAATTAAGCTTATGGATAATAATATGCATACTTCATCCAAGCGGTATGGTTCTTCTGGAATGAATTATATAACTGGAAGTTACAGAAAGCACGAGGGTCAAATTAATGTTCTACCTTTAAGGAACAATATTTTAAAAAATCAGAATTTTAGTCAGTTTCGTAAACATCTTGTTTATTTTGGCAGAAACGTATATTGTCACATTTTTAAAAGACGCTACATAGCAATAAATTTAGCTAATAAATTAGAAAACCGGAAATTGATTTAAACTAAAAAGTGCTGTATAAGTTTTGTTTTATGAAAGTTAAATGTTTCAGATCAAACAAATTTTATGTTTAGACAAAACAACCCTATGTAAAGACAAAATACAAATTATATCACAGGGAAAAAAGATATCCAAACAAATTAGTCCTACATAAAAAAGAAAATGACTCCAAAACCTAACAAGGGGTAAGCAGACACTACTACCATCAACAGTTTATGACACATGGCATGAGTCACTATTGTGTAGCAGACTCATTGCCTGAATTAATACAGTGGTGCGTTCATTCTGCCACACTGCATGATTTTAGGCAGTTGCCACTCCATGTCAAGGGGAGTCCAGACTTTGACTAGGCTAGGCCAATCTAGAATTTTCTGTTGTTTTTCATTGATTGATTTCTGCCACACTAAATAAGCTACATAAGTCAGAATTGAATGCCAAATCTTGTCCTTCAGAGTTTTCTGCGAGAGAGCAGAATTCATAGATCTGTCACAAAATCCTGAAGCAGCTAAGCAGAACCACACCATCACTCTATCATCACCATTTTTCATTAGTGGTCTGATGTTCTTTTTCTGAAATTCTTTACATGTTTTACTCCATGCAAACAAATTCTCCAAAAATTATGAAGTTCTCCTATCAGCCCACAGAATATTTTCTAAAACATCCGTGCTGTTTTATGGAACCGTGAAACCTTTATTTAAATTTTTGATCACCATTAGTTCTGGTATTAGACAAAGTGCAGCCCGAAGACCCTAATGATGAATACAAAGATTGGATCTCATGTTCCCTCGCCCGGACACGGGTCACCGGGGCCCCAACCTGGAGCCAGGGCTGGAGGTGGGGCACGTTGGCAAGCGCCTGGAGGCCAGGCTTTTACCCATGGAGCCCGGCTGGGCCTAGCCCGGAGAGGAGCTTCGGGCTAGGCCCCCTTTGGCCCCTATGAAAGGGGCCAAACTTGTTACTCCCCATCTCGGCGCCTGTATGTTGGGGTTTACCCTGGTGAACGAGAGGGTAGCCTCCCTCCGCCTACGGGTGGGGGGACAGGTTCTGACTGTTGTTTGTGCTTACGGGCCGAAGGATAGTTCAGCCTACCCACCCTTTTTGAAGTCCATAAAGGGAGTATTGAAGTGTGCCCCTCCTGGGGACTCCCTCCTTCTGCTGGGGGACTTGAACGCTCATGTGGGCAATGACAGTGAGACCTGGAGGGGCGTGGTTGGGAGGAACGCTCCCTCCGATCTGAACTCGAGTGGTCTTCTGTAGTTGGACTTCTGTGCTTGTCACGGATTGTCCATAACAAACACCATGTTCAGGCATAAGGGTGTCCATATGTGCACTTGACACCAGGACACCCTAAGCCACAGTTTGATGATCGATTTTCTCATCGTTTCGTCGGAACTGCGGCCGTATGTCTTGAACACTCGGGTGAAGAGAGGTGCGGAGTTGTCCACTGACCACTACCTGGTGGTGAGTTGGCTTTGGTGGTGGGGTAGGATGCCGGTCAGACCTGGCAGGGCCAAACGTGTTGTGAGGATCTGCTGGGAACATCTGGCGGACTCCCCTGTGGTACAGAGTTTTAACTCCCATGTCCAGCAGAGCTTGAAACATTTCCCGGGGGATGAAGGGGACATTGAGTCTGAGTGGACCATGTTCCGTAACTCCATTATTCAGGCGGCTTATCGGAGCTGTGGTCTCAAGGTTGTCGGTGCCTGTCGTGGCGGCAATCCTCGAACCTGTTGGTGGACACCTTCGGTGAAGGATGCTGTCAGGCTGAAGAAGGAGTCCTATTGGGCCTTTTTGGCCTGTGGGACTCCGGAAGCAGCTGATGGGTACTGGCAGGCAAAGCGGCGTGCGGCTCGGGTGGTTGCTGAGGTAAAAACTTGGGTGTGGGAGGAGTTTAGAGAGGCCATGGAGAAAGACTTCTGCATGGGTTCGAGGCGATTCTGGTCCACCATCCGGCGTCTCAGGAGGGGGAAGCAGTGTAGCACCAACACCGTTTACAGTAGGGCTGGTGTGCTGCTGACCTCGACTCGACGTTGTGGGCCGGTGGGCAGAGTACTTCGAAGACCTCCTCAATCCCACCGACATGCCTTCTATTGAGGAAGCTGAGCCTGGGGACTCTGGGTTGGGCTCTCCAATCTCTGTGGACGAGGTCGCCGAGGTGCTTAAAAAGCTTCTCGGTGGCAGGGCCCCGGGGGTGGATGAGATTTGCCCGGAGTTTCTTAAGACTCTGGATGTTGAAGGGATGTGTTGGTTGACGCGACTCTGCAGTATCACATGGACATTTGGGGCAGTACCCCTGGATTGGCAGACTGGGGTGGTGGTCCCCCTGTTTAAAAAGGGGATCGGAGGGTGTGCTCCAATTATAGAGGGATCTCACTCTTAAGCCTCCCTGGCAAGGTCTATTCGGGGGTCCTGGAGAGGAGGGTCCGTCAGAGAGTCGAACCTCGGATTTTGGAAGAGCAGTGTGGTTTTCGTCCTGGTCATTGAACACTGGATCAGCTCTACACCCTCAGCAGGGTCCTGGAGGGTGCATGGGAGTTCACCCAACCGGTCCACATGTGTTTTGTGGACATGGAGAAGGCATTTGACCCTGTCCATTGGGGTGCCCTGTGGGGGGTTCTCCGGCAGTCAGGTCCATGTATTACCGGTTTCGGAATCTGGTCTGCATTGCCGGCAATAAGTCGGGCTTGTTTCTGGTGAGGGTTGGACTCTGCCAGGGCTGCCCTTTGTCACCAATTCTGTTCATTACTTTTATGGACAGAATTTCTAGGCGCAGCCAAGGTGTTGAGGGGATCCGTTTTGGTGGCATTAGAATTGCATCTCTGCTTTTTGCGGACGATGTGGTCCTATTGGCTTCATCGGGACGTAATCTGCAGCTCTCGCTGGTGCAGTTTGCAGCTGAGTGTGAAGCGGCCGGGATGAGGATCAGTGCCTCCACGTCTGGAGGGACTATGTCTCCCGGCTGGCCTGGGAACGCCTTGGGATTCCTCCGGAGGAGCTGGAAGAAGTGGCTGGGGAGAGGGAAGTCTGGGCCTCCCTTCTTAAGCTCCTACCCCCGCAACCCGACCTCAGATAAGCGGCAGACGATGGATGGAACGATGGATTAGTTCTGGCCTTTCAATTCCCCCGCAGATCACATTTTTGTCCAATCTGGTTCCTTTTATTATAAAGTCATATTATGGTGTTAATCAGAGGCAGGGGAGGAATGTTCTGCTGTAAATGTTGTTCTGGGTTCATTGTGTGACATCCTGAATGCATTATCGGTATAGATTCTACCCTGTTTGATATTATCTGCATAGTGACAATGAAATCCTCAAATTTTGTTCATAATTTTACATGGGTAAGGCTGGTTGGAAGAACTAAATCATTATAAAAAACTGTTTTGTACCTTATATTAAAATTTAAGATCTAAAACATCTGTAAGAGAGTAAATGCATTTTCACAGCTTACCTGAACCTCTGCACTGCTGACTGAATGTTGGTCCAAGGCAACCTCTCCCTCTATTTTCAATTCAGGTTCAGGATCAGCAATAGGAGCTTTAGCTTCATCTTCCTCATTCTCTCTCTGTCCCCCCTCACTGTCAGACTGTGAACGCCGTTTAAGGAGGGAAGAGAAGAGGCGAGAGAGACCACGGCTAGTAGAATTTTGATTTTGAGGCTGAAGGTTGTCATCCTCATGAAGATGCAGCTGAGAATCTTGGCCAGCTTCTTCCTGCTTCGGCTTTTTCTGGTGACTTTCCACTTCATCTGTGGTCATGGCTGTTAAATTACATAAAGATATGAAATTAAAACCAACAATGCAAATATTTATAAGATAAAACAAAAATGGATTTATATTACACTGTTAGGAACTGGGGTTATTGGTTTTTCTGTTTGCCTGCTGCTTCCACCTTCATCCACCAGATGGTGAAAAAAGGCTCCACACCTGGAGGGGCATGCTGCTGACTCTGCCAGCGCACCTGTGTTTCATCATCCAATTATCCTGGAGCTTAAGAGGAGCAGACTGCCAGCACTTCAGTGCCTGAGTGTTTGCCAGTAGTGGTACTCTGAGCCCTCTGAGTTAGCGCTCTGTGTTTTCTCCTGAGAAGATAAAGTAGTAATTGATTCTTGTTGCCTTTTTCTCTCAGGTGATTCCTTGTGACCCCTTGGAAGTTTCCCTGTCAGCTTGCTCCTCTATTCTCCTTCACGCCTGAACTTACCTGTCCACCCTCCACATCATCAATCCAGAATTTACTCAGCTGAGATCCCTCTGGAACCTGGATCATCTCAAAGACACCCACAAAAAGACCAAAACCACAAACCTGAAGTTTCCCCTCTTCCCGGTGGAAGTCATCTTCAACTCGAGATCAGTCTAATTTCTCTGAAAGTTCCCATTTAAGAAAACCTCAAAACTCACCATTTCCCTTTGCTGCTCTTCAGTGTGCAGACAATCCCGTGTGCCCACCCTAAGGACCAGACCTACTAAAATCAACCTTCTTATATATATATATAAAAAAAAAAAAAATTCCCTTCTCACCCACCGCGGGTGGTTCTTATCCTCTGAGCTCGGGTCCTCTACCAGAGGCCTGGGAGCTTGAGGGTCCTGCAGTATCTTGGCTGTGCCAAGGACTGCACATTTCTGGACTGAGATGTCTGATGTTGTTCCTGGGATCTGTTGTAGCCACTGCTCCAGTTTGGGGGTTACTGCCCCGAGGGCCCCGATGACCACAGGCACCACTGTGGTCTTCACCTTCCAGGCCCTCTCCAGTTCTTCCCTGAGTCCCTGGTATTTCTCTAGTTTCTCGTGCTCCTTTTTCCTGATGTTGCAATCACTTGGTATTGCTACATCTAACACAACGGCTTTCCTCTGATGTTTATCCACAACGACAATGTCTGGTTGGTTCGCCATTACCATTTATATATATATATATATATATATATATATATATATATATATATATATATATATATATATATATATATATATATATTCTTTAAATAAACTTTATTTATCTGATTTCCTGTTCTCCTGGTGGTGTTCTGCATGTGGGTTAGGAATCTGGAACCCATCATGACATGCATCACTTTTACAGACATCTTCTAAACTCGTACAGCAGTGCTCTAATCTCTTTTAAGTCTTAATAATTACTCCTGTCAAGCTGTTGTGTGGATGACATTGTTGGAGCTCCTGTTGGAAATATTAGTCTAATTATGCTAGTTTTAACAATGATTAACTTTGGCGTATGTTGAAATATTAGACAGATCATGATTGTTTTGAGTAGGCCTCAGTTAAGATTAGATTTAGACTCATGGTTTAATCAAAACATATCTTAATCACTAGAACATTTTTCTGAGATATAATGAGCACAATTTGATTAAAATTTGTCTTATCAGTAGTTTTTTTATATTAGATCACATTCTTAAGAATGTATAAATCTTGTATTTGTTTGAAAATGTTTTAGTTCATTATTACCAAAGTTGAAAAATAATCAGAAAATATTGAGTGTAACAGATGTTTTGGTATTGAAACTGCTCAAGTCTGTTTTATCAGTGTTTGAAGATATTGTATGAAAAGTGTGCTAATTTTTATAGTCAAAATCTGTCTGATGCCCTGGATCAGAGGAGAGGTCAAGAGAGCACTGTGCGGTTCAGGAACCAGTTTGAAATGAAAAACACGGATAGCTAATAAACTTTGGTCCCACTTTCTTGCGTAAACTGTTTCTGTATGAAATGAACACATCTATTGTTCAGTCCACAGGGAGGACAGCTTAGACAGCGACAAATTCATCCTTTGGCCTTGGTAACACATGCATGGTGAACAAACAGCAACACTTTTTTACAGGCTGTCTGAGTTCACCTCTAAACAGTAGGTTAGAAACATGCCTTGATATAAAAGTAATTGAGCTACAACAGCTAGTCAGATCACTGGGGTGGAACTGTCTTAACTGCCAAACACCGAAGTCTCTGAAGGCACATCTTCATATTTTTCAGTCTATAATTCGCTACTTTTTACCCATATTTTGAACCATCTGGCTTGTAGCCTGGTGCAGCTTTTCTGTGGATTTTTCTTCAACAGCCACGGGGCTCTTTAGCAGGAAGTGAATCATTGGAAGTCAAAACTGGAAATCAAAGAAGAAAGTGCTGATTTTCATTTAGAACAAGCCTATGCTGGCAGCAGGCATGATAGAGAAATGTTTTGTGACCTTTGTCCCATTCCCAAGTCCGTTGCAGCAATTCTTGAGATCTTTTGGGCTGAATGTGAAGCCACAATCAAATCAGGAGCCAGAGCTGTTGGGCATCAGGTCCTGTCTCCCTTACAGCGGTGTGAAGGCTTGACTTCCCTCTGGTTCCAGGGCGCTGCTTCTTGTTGGTCCTTTGGCCTGTTGCTGGCAGCTCAATCCACCGGAGACAAAGAACAAGAGTTCTCTGCTTCTCTGTTTATTTAAACTCTTTCCCCTTGCAGTTGTGTATGGGGAGATGGTGTACGTGACTTCTCAAGCAATTGATTACTTCATGAAAGGTCCCATGCCTTCCCATATTCGGTCAACTCCCTATCCACTTGAGATAAGCACAGTGGCACAGTTGGTAGCACTGTTGCCTTTCTGCACGGAGTTTGCATGTTCTCCCTGTGCGTGTGTGGGTTCTCTCTGGGTTCTCCGACTTCCTCTAAGTTCCTCTAAATAGCAAAATTAACTTCCAGAGTCAGATAATTTAAAGTAAAATAGATGAAAATGGTCACTGGTTATTCCTCAGTCTGTTCAGATAACTTATTTTGTTTGTTTGTTACAATAATCTAAACTAGAACAAATTATTGCCAGAGAAACAAATAATTTTGTTCTTCTTTATGTATGCACATGTTTACTCTGCCCTACTAATTGCTTGTTTTTTATTTTTGAAAATCTGTTTGAAATAAATAAATTAAATCAAAATTATGGCTCAGATGTTGATCTAAGTATGGATCTAGATTATAAAAATAGAAATAAATTATTGCTCTGTGATTTAATTATAAATTTGCTCAGAATTATTCAACATGGAAGAAAAATACAGTGATATTTTCAAGCTCCACTTTGCACATCTGTATTTCCAGCTGCATGTTGGTTTGACACTGAGTTTAAGCTCTGAAATCGGCTTTAAAATTAATCTGTCCGTGTGTGGGATTAAAGGCTGTTGTGTGCAGATGTGGAGGCTAGAGATGAAGCCGTCTGTCTCTTAGTCTGTACTTTGTGATTCACCAGGTCTGCAATTCTCCTTCCCCTCAACCTTTCTAGATACTACATACTGAAGTACTAAGTTCTAAAGCGTTCTAAACCAAGTACTTGTGTTTAGAAAGGTCATTGAAGGTCACCGTTTACTACACAAGTTATTACCAACAGTCAATTTGTAATCAGTGTATTGGCTCACTTAATTTTTAACCTTTAAGGTCTGATTAGGCTCAACATATTTTGTGTTTTATCCAAACAATCATCATTAAGCAAAGCAGTGCTATTGCTGTGTTGGATACTACCTAACTAGATTACTCAAGGTTTTCTAACCAGGATTCTAACCAGTAGTCAGTCTACTTTGTGTATTTCTCACACAAAGAAAAACTGTGATCCTACCAGAAGTGCATATACATATGTTGTACAAAATCTGAAATAAATAGTTTCTGCAATGAAAGTAAAATAAGGTAAACTGCTTGAAATGAATATAATTGCCAAATAACTACTATGTTGCAAATACCAGTAGTAGTTATTTGCAATCATTAAGAAAATGGTTGGTTTTCATTTTCTTAAAAGTTCTGTATTCCAAGCATGGATAGACTTCTTCTTAAAGGAATATTTTTTTATTAAATATATTTAAAAACTATCTAGTGTCAGTGTGACTGGTAAATATCAAAATGACAATACCCACAACCATAAATTCACATATCATAGCCTTCTGTTTCTCATTTGTGTTTCCAGTCGTCTGTGTGGGTATTTACTGGAGAAATCTGATTTTTTGAAGTCATTTTTATTAAGAAGATTGACAGGGAAAGGGTAATTTTCTTCCTTTTGGAACTTCGAAAACCTGCTCCCAATCTAAAACCTCTCTCTTTTGCATAACAACGATCGCTTTTTGTAAATAATCACCGTTAAATGTGTGATCAAAAAAACAACAATACGGAACGGGCTTCACGTGCCGCTTATCTGGGCAACAAACATGACAAACTTAGAGGAATAAAACAAAAATAAAACTTTTTGAAAAAGTAAAGTATATAAAGTTAAATTAATACAGTTTAAGTTTGACTTCTGTGCCACGCTGCTATGATAAAACATAGCAGCGTCATTCTCTTTTGACATGCAACCATCATCGGATCTGAGCAACAAAACACAATAATATTGCTAAATATATACTGACAAAAATCACTAATGAATTTATAAAAACAACCACTTTGATACTAAATATATGTGCCTATGTCAGGATTGTGTTCTTAAGTGTTTAATGTGATTTCTTTTTACGGACATCAGTGGACAGCTTCAACAAACTTTCCCTGGAAATGTCTATCAACATTACCGTATTTTTCAGACTATAAGCCGCTACTTTGTCCCCACCCTTTGAACCATGCAGCTTATAGCCTTGTGCGACTTATGTATGTACATTTGCAGTTATTTTCAAAAATTGTAGGTGCAGCTTCTATTAAGATGCGCTCTATAGTCCGGAAAGTACGTACGTTTTTTTGTTATTTGACAACTTCTCATTACAGAGAAAACATTTAGGTAATCCTTCCGCATTGGCAATGAATGCAAATTATTCGGTCCAAGAATTGTAGAGTCTCTCTTTGGCTAGTTTCCTCTTTTCCCCTTTTCTCTCCATTACCCACCACACACCCCTCGGAGTGTTTACTGCAGGCCCCTGCCAGGCACTCCATCCAGCTGAAAGAAAGGTGTCACAGGCTTCGATGCAAATCTTGGTTGACAGAAATGTTGAACTTTAATATTTATTCTACACATTTTAATAGCATTGGAAAACGTTAAGAATGATTGTGTCATGTTTGTCCTCCCACAGAAACCATATAAAAAAATAAATAAAAATTATTTCCCACCCCCATCTTTTTTCATTTTCAAAAAATATTTGAAAAAGCACCAGAGAGCCACTAGGGCGGCACTAAAGAGGCACATGCACAGGTTGCCAACCCCTGGTGTAGGCCATGAAGGATACATCTGACCCGTCCTTTAAATCTGGGAAAAAGAAGGATATATTAGTCGGCTGCTTTTGAAGGACTCTTCGAATTTGGACAGGCCTTGTTGCCACACTATGATAAAATCTGCCTACAAATGCGGCCTCCAAAGGAGGCAACCCCTGAGTTTGGACAAGGCTGTAAACACTGGAATATAGTTCACTTTGGTCTGTGGTCTTTAAAGTCTTTCTTGTGAAGTGTTGCTAGCCTCTTTGCCTGTCTTGAGTGTACTAGTTAGAAATTTCACATGAACGAATTACACTGTTCACTCATCAGGATGAGTGCAAGCAAATTGTCTCCTCACCACGCAAACTCCATAGAGATGAATGGATTGCAGTGCTGTCTCCAATCACCATGTGACCACTTCAGTCACCTGCTGGGCTCCTGGGCTCCAAACACATAAAGACCTCTGGCAATTTCTTTCAAAAGAAGGTCTTCTTCTTTTGAAAGAAGAAATCGCAATGGCATTACCAATACATAATGGTAGGACTTTGGTAAGAGGGTGTGTACAACATGCATACTGGTTTATTGTATTAGTCCTTAAATGTGAACCACATCAAAGAGACCTCAATATTTGCGCTCGTACTTGGATTATTAGATGTTCTACTCTTAGAAAAAAAGGTGCATTATGGATAGTGAAAAACAATTTGGGGAAGTCCTGTTTAGTTCTGCTCAAGCTATATCAATTGTACAAACTATTGGCACATAGTTTGTACCTACAGTCCGGAAAGTACAATTGGTACATAGTCAGAACTGTCTCACAATTCTGACTTGTGAGACAGTTAACAAATTCTAGCAAACTTAAAAGGACTGAAACAGTAAGGTTATTTCTCCACTTTACTAGGCTATAGAAAGCTATACAACTCTACAGAAAAAGTGGATCAGACATTTATTTATTTATTTTACCTTTTTTCTGTTCTCATTACATGTCGTACCCCATTGGCTCCTGGTAATTTGCAATTTTGGTGAAGATTTCTTCAACAAAATAAGACAGTGGTATTTGTTTCCGTTACACAATTGTCAGTATTAAATAAAGGTGCAACAGACTGCATCTGCTTTAGACAATGTGAAAAGATTGTAGTTTTAAAGCAGGGGTGTCCAATGTGCAGCCCGGGGGTCATTTGTTGCCATCTAAACAATTTTGGGAGGCTCTTCATCGCAACTTAAGAGCGGCTTAAACTTGGTTTTCGAGGCAGTTGATGCAGATTCACATTTAAAAACTAAATTTCGGTGTAATTATCAAAGGTCAAAGGCCTTCCAAAAAAGTTTAACATCTTACAATGGCACACAAAGTATTCATCCAGGTTTTTGCTTTAAATTTGATTTAATTTAATAGTAAAAGGGACTGTGATTTTTACTAAAATACAGACCTGGACAAAATCAAACAAGAGTGAGCAATAAAGCATAAATAGATAAAACATAATCAACCTGAAATATTTAGCAAATGACTATTTACTGATTTTTTTTTTATGTTTGTAAATCTACAATGATTTACAGAAATATTTCATTAAAATATTGAGTTCAGTTTATATTTGAACAGGTAAAGATAAAAAAAATAGGTTTTGCAATTATGTTTAAAAAGGGAAACACTAAATATTGTGTGGCCCCTGCCATATTTTCAACCTGACATTTTTGGCCCCGATGCCAGGAAGTTTAGACACATTTGTTCTAACGACACAAGAATGATAAAGGTGAAATAAAGGCTTTAGAACTTGGGGAAAACATTAACAACAATCACAAAAACAGGCAAATAAAATAAAATTGAAATCAATTTAAATCAAAATGGAATTAGAATTAAAAACAACTTTTCTTAATGACAATACCTTGCCATCATTTTCCCTTGTAAAACTTATTGTATTAGACAACAAGATATAGAGACACACAGAGCCATATGCAAATGCCTGTATGCATTTGCATATATAATTTGAACGTAAAACTTACATCAACACATACTGTAACTGTAATGTGCAGCTTTGGCGTGCATGCAATTGTGTGATCTGGGTTTAAAATCTCATCCATTAAGATGCATACATTATTGTTTAAATCCTAAACTTGAACTTTCAGCAGAGACACTGCTGCTGGATTCACCCAGTCACGTCTCCATGATTAATCTGTGCTAGAAATAGACATCATATAATGGCTTCACTGTAATATCTACTGTAACAGCCATGTAAATGTGCAGACTGCTGTTGCACAGCGCGGCCTGGCCAAAACATCTTTGCAAAGATTGCTAAGAAATAAAAATGGCAACAATTCAACACGTCATAGGTTTTTAAGACACTCCAGTTTCACTAATTTAAGGCAACATTCATATAACTGCGATAAACCATACTGCTGTAAACCCCCGCTTTATTAGACGTTCAGTCTCGCAAATAAAAATGGATTTGTGGATCAGTCCAGCTTGATGCTGGGACAGTCACAGCTACCTGTCTGCAAATGGCGCTGGATGGAATAATGTCAACAACTCACCGTCTTTGTTAGGATCATCCAGTAGAATGCAAAAAAATACAATAAAATTTTAAAAATCGGATCTTCACCCCTTAAAGTCCTTTTCAGCCCAAAACGGTAGAGATGAAGAGTTAATCCTGCAACGGCAGAAAACGAGCGGCTGTAACAAAGCGTTTGGGAATCAGGCGCTTCCCATGTATGTCTGTGTGGATGCAAATTTCCCTCAGTGTTGTCTGACAGGAAAGGATTTCAAGTTTACTGTGATGATGATGCGTAGGCAACCTTCTGCTGGCATATAGGAAGCAGTGCAGCCTGTGTTTGTCACTGGAGCTGGGAGAAGGAAGCACCAGGCATCTATATTGTAACTGAAAGACTACAATATAAGCAGAGAATGACATCAGGAACCAGCCTGTGAGACATTGCGCAGGGCAACCTCGACATTTGTCCCCCATTTTTATTGAAAGGAGGGATGACTTTAATAACAGAAATTTATATGTGAAAACATCCAATGTGAGCTGTGCAGGAAGATTTATCATCTGCATCCAACGGTCCCAGTGTTAAATTTGAAATTATTTTCATTCAATTTCACTTACGGAGGAAAGAATATGCTGTAAAATAACAGCGGTGTCCAAATACATCAGGTAAGAATGTATAAATGAAGAAATCAGTGTTTTTTGAATGTTGTGTAATCAGTTGTGGTGATATCTTTCTGATGTAATAGCATGTTTTATTCTCATGTATGTTCCTGGGACTTCAACATGAATTATATCACAGAGTGGATAAGGCCAACTTTCAAAGTACATCCCGTTTTATGAAGAGATCATTGGGGATAAAAAGGGTTGTGAGATTATTTTTAAAGAAATTTTGTATTCCCAAAAATAAATAGCATGGCTAAACGGCTGTTAATAGTCATGAACCTCATGTCTACTTTCCAGTGCTTCTGGACAAAATCTCTGCTGCAAAGTAACATGAATGAAATATGCAGAGATCAGTAGTTACATTCAATCAGGACATTTACTTGAGTAACCTTACTTAATAAACTTAAATTGTGAAACACTATGACCAAATGACCAGTAATGCCACATGGGGCTATAGCCACAGGACAATTCACCTTCTCAGTATTTAAAAAAGGGCTGTGGAAAGTCAGGACAATAAAGAGAGGTGGATTTTTTTATTATTATTATTTGTACAAAAATGAAATTAACCCTACAACAATAGAATATATGCATAAAAGACATAATTATAGACTGTACCAACACATATAAAAATATATATAAAAATTCCCTTCTGGGCCCAAGTATTCAAGTATCCATATCCAAAACTTGGATTTCTATATATATATATGTACAGAGTACACCCGTAATATTTCATTTCTGCAGATATTTAAGTACATCTTTTGTGACAAAATTACACTATATCACAATGAAAAGTCATCTGTGTGCAGCTTATGTAACAGTATAAATTTATTCAGCATTAATTGCCAAAACTGCCTTAACTTTTCTGGGCATGAAGTTCACCAGAGCTTCACAGGTTGCCATTGGAATGCTTTTCCACTCTTCCATGATGACGTCACAGAGCTGGTGGATATATGTATAGGTATATCAATATGTATCGATGGGAGCATGTCCCTCCTGTCTGTACGTCGCCAGTGAAATGATTAAGAAACATTTAATATATAAACTGATTTTACATAATTTAGCTTATTTATATAATGTACACTGATTTTTGTCACCAACTGTGTGTGTATAACTTAATTTGTGTGTGGAAGAATGATCATAATCGCCAGAGGACAGATGCGAGGCACTCATGATCCCAGACATTGGTCTTGTGACTCCACATCTGCAAACTGAGAGACAGTGAGCAAGTAATACAGTAAATAAGTCAAGTGCAGCAATATATTTATTGTTTTCTCCTCTCTTCTGATGCCAAGCTTTAAACAGAATTTAACACTAGAGGGCGCAAGGTCCACCATATAAAATCAAAATCAAATCAAATTTTATTTGTATAGCACATTTCAGCAGCAAGGCATTTCAAAGTGCTTTACATCATAAACACAAAAACACAATGTCATGCAGCATATAATAGACAATACATTGTTACATGTTACATTTCAAATACAATTTAAACAGGTGTGTTTTTAGTTGAGATTCAAAGGAAGTCAGGGTTTCAGCTGTTTTACAGTTTTCTGGAAGTTTGTTCCAAATTTGTGGTGCATAGATGCTGAAAGCTGCTTCTCCTCTCTTGGTTCTGGTTCTGGGGATGCAGAGCAGAACTAGAACCAGAACCTGAGAGTCTGGAAGGTTGATACAACAACAGCAGATCTTTGATGTATTGTGGTGCTAAACCGTTCAGTGATTTATAAACTAACAACAGTATTTTAAAGTCTATTCTTTGAGCTACAGGGAGCCAGTGGAGGGACTTTAAAACTGCTGTTATGTCTCTATCTTCCTGGTTTTAGTGAGAACAGGAGCAGCAACGTTCTGGATCAGCTGCAGCTGGAGGATTGATTTGTTGGACAGGCCTGTGAAGACACTGTTGCAATAATCAATGCGACTAAAGATAAACGCATGGATGAGTTTCTCTAGATCTGGCTGAGACATTAGTCCTCTAATCCTGGAGATATTCTTCAGGTGATAGAAGGCCGACTTTGTAATCGTCTTTATGTGGCTCGCAAGTTTCAGGCCCGAGTCCATCACTACTCCCAGGTTTCTGATCGCTAGTTTTTAGTTGTAATAACTGAAGCTGTGCATTGACTCTAGATCTGTAGCTCTAGATCTGTAGCTCTAGATCTATAGCTCTAGATCTGTAGCTCTAGATCTGTAGCTCTAGATCTATAGCTCTAGATCTGTAGCTCTAGATCTATAGCTCTAGATCGTTCCTCTTTAGGTCCAAAAATAATGACTTCAGTTTTGTTTCTGTTCAGCTGGAGAAAGTTTTGGCATTTATCTGTTCTAAACATTCATTCAGTGATTGGATGGGTTCAGAGTCACCTGGTAATATCGTAATGTAGAGCTGTGTGTCATCCGCATAGTTATGGTAGCTAATATTATTTCCTGTTATAACCTGAGCTAATATTTATATTAGCTCAGATTAATATTTATATTTTATATAAATATAAAAATATTTATATTTATTATATTGCACTGCATGCAAGTCATGCATGCTTCGCCGGTAATTTGCGCTGCCGTACAACGTGTGGTGTGCATCCAAACGTTCAAAGCTCCAGTAGAAGGTAGAAAAACAATATCTCAAAAAAGACTTATCCTTCAGGGAGAAAGAAAAGAGGAAGAATAAATGTATGTTTTAATATGTCTTGGTAATGTAATATTTTGTGGCATACACAATGTATATATTTCACACCCAAATGTACACTTATATTGTGAAAGGGAGAAGGTGAGGTGAGAAGACACCAACGGTTGTAATTTATTCTATTTTTTGGTTTGGATTGGAAGACATTATATTTTTGTCTTTTTCTTCTGACTTCCACAGAGCGAGAAAAAAGTGGTTTAGAGTTGTACTTTAATGGACATGTGGATGAATGGTATCTACATGTCCAAGTTTGATTGAGTTAAAGTAAATATTCTACAGCAGCAGTACGGCTTTGCATGACATGTAAAATAATAGTCTTTTTGCCCTCCAGCGTTGTCCGCATGCACAAACTTTTCTCATGTAAACAATAACATGCAGGGGATCTGTATTTGTAAATCTGATTATGATTAAGTCAGTCCCTCACCAACAACTAACCTCACCCATGTCACTGATACATACATGTACTCACATACACACACAGACAGATATCACATTACCTCTTCAACAGTAAATGGTATCCCAATTAACAAAAAAGAAACATTATTTGTTCAAACAAATAATGAACAAAATACCAAAACAAAACATGCAAGCAAATGTCAAATTAAACCTGGAGAACAGGCAGGCTGGTGATTATCTCACACAACCTCACAAGGTTGACCATCCCTTGGTGGATGCAACCAAATAGTTTTGGTTGCCTCTAAAACTGGATGCAGCAAACTGGATACAACTGGATACAAACCAGAGAACTAATGCGGAGAGAACTAACTGTTTGGAGAGCAGATTGTTTACAGTGCAAAGGCATTATGGAGACATAATGGGAATATCCAAGGTACTTAAAGACATTTGTGTGTAGGCCTGTTTCTCGACCATTCATACAGTCTTTCCTTCCCCCATCACAATACAAAAGAACAGCCGTTTGCTCCCTTCCCCCTTCAATAACACAACATATTGTCAACCCCCAGTCTTATTTTTTGCAGATGAGGTGCCAAGCCAGACTGTCTGCTCTGATTAAGCAGAAGCATGAAGCACACTATCTCTCACATAAAAATTTATCAAAAGGTGTGGCATATAAACATGACTATTAATATATCATAGTATGCAATAGGAAATATTTTTATATACTTTGAGAAAAATCTAAATTATGAAAAAAAAGATTATTTAAAAGGTTTTTCTCATTTTATTTTCATCAGTCCTTGAAAACAATAGTAATGACAATAAGGTTTTTAAAGATTATAGCTAACAGTGGGAGGTTATTTCTTGTTTCAATTTATGACATAAGAAAAAATTGGTGAAAAAGTCACTAAGTTTTAAACCATCCAAATCAATGGAGAGTTGATTTGGATGGTTGATTTTCTCTCATGGCAGAAAAAAATGGGGACAGTGGCTGATTTTTAGAATTTTTTGTAATAGTCATCAGTCTTTCACCCGAGAGGGCGGGGTTCGAATCCAGTCTGGATCCTTAGGCAAAACCCTTCAAGCTACTGCCTATCTCATATTGAGATGCAAAACATGCCGGCTCAGACGTCGCCCGGCCAAACAAGGTCTGCGTCAGGTGCTGGGGAAACAGAGCACCTTGATGAGAAATGGGCTACTGGAACAAGACGGAATTGGGCGAGAGGTGAAAACTTGAATCTGTTGGAATGCTACTAAATGGCTACAACAGATTCCAGGAACAACATCAGACATCTCAGTCCAGAAATGTGCAGTCCTTGGCACAGCCAAGATACTGCAGGATCCTCAAGCTCCCAGGCCTCTGGTAGAGGACCCGTGCTCAGAGGATAAGAACCACCCGCCGTGGGTGAGAAAAAAAAAAAAAAAAAAAAAATATATATATATATATATATATATATATATATATATATATATAGCTGACTGGCTAGCTCAATACATAAGGCATCAGTATATCACCCGAGAGGGCAGGGTTCGAATCCAGTCTGG